CTCCTTCCCCTCTAGTGAAGACTGCTTGGCCGATTCCAGACACCTTGAAGGGTCCATCGCACATCACGCATCTGAAACACTCAGGGTGATAAGCCTTCGGTGGCCCTGTAGTATTAACGTCAGGGACGGTTACAAACCGGCCTGCTGTTCTGCTTGTAGAAAGGGACCCCCCACACTTCGCGCACAGTGAATCAGGTGTCAGGGTAGTAGCAGAGATAGAAAGTCGGTTGGATGTGTGTTTGGCTGCTTTTGGAGTCGGCGTTGGGTTGGCCTCTCGGGTGTCGTGTTCTGACTCAACGGAGTCGCTGGGTTTGTCTGGCGAGTAAAGCGTGTTACCATTGCCGAAGATGTCGACATGGCGCACTGGTGGACTAAAGGGCAGAGGAGAAGATGGAGATGGAGATGAAGCCTCTGTCGTAATGTCTGACATATCAGACATCAATTCCGGTGTAGATGGAGCCCAGGAAAGGCGCGGAGACGACAGGCTTGAAGTGCTGGCTACACTACGAAGCGCTGGTGAACCGCGAGACCGTCTCGAAAGCGGAATTCGCGATCCCTCCAGGGATTTGCCGACAGGAGAATTGTTGTAGAAGGAAGGTGAAGACGAGGAACACGCAATGTTCACATTTGTTCGTGAGCCAGGTGACGAAGGTGATTGTGGCAAAAATCGGCTCTTCATCTCTTCAATTGCTTCAGCAGAGGGTCGCCCTGACGAGGGACTGGATGCGCTCATCTCTGGAGTCTCAACCCGTTCGCGAATGATTGTGCTAGGTGTCATCCTGCGTTCACCAGCATCGGGACTTCTGGTTTGCCAAAACTCAGTTCGCGGAGAGCTGTTGCTTGAATCGACACTATCGAAAGCAGAGGAAAGTGACCCCATCGGAGAGAATGTTTGGGGCAGCTTCCTCTCCGAAATGCGACCAGGAATAGGACTTTCTCCCCAACAATTCGCATTGGTATAACGCGACGTTGAGGCACCAAGGGCACTTGGTGTCGGAGACCCATCTTTGGAAGGTGTGCGATTGAGCACTGCATTTAAACGTGCCGTGAGCTCTTCCATCACGGGGCTACCTTCTCTGTTCTTCATGATTCCAAGTCGCTGTTCTAGTTCATCAATTGCAGGGCTTCCTTGCCTACTCGTCGAGTCTCTGCGGAGGCGGCCTACGTGACTTCGCTCTATTTTCTCTATTCCTGGAGATTTGTGAGGCTTGGAGGGCGTGACGTCCCTCTTCAGGCAACTTTCGAAGCAGTCTGCGCAGGATGGTCGACCTAGAAGATCAACCATAGGAGTGTCGCCAATGTTTTTGTGACAACCGTCACAGCGAAAGCACCTTTTGTGCCAAACACGGCCTGACGTTTCCACGAAACCGCCCTCGCTCTTCACGATGAGCACTGGGCGATCACACGAAGGGCAGTCGCCTTTGGACCCACCGTGCTTAACGAAGCATGGTCGACACAGGAATCGTTCTGTATCTATTGCAGGAGCAGAGGGGTCTGGGTATATAGTCGCATCTGGTGGGAATTCAGCGGAGCAGATAGCGCAGCAGTAGGATGCAAGGGATTCTTTGGGCTGAAGGACTGACCCATAAGCCTTGGAAAGTTCGGGTGCGTATGGGGAAGGAAGGATTCCTGCAGCAGCAGAGATAGTTGTTGGTGATGGAGGGGCTTCGTGATGGATGTTGCCTAACGACACTGAGTGCTTCAGCGGTGAGGCAGGTCGCGATGTACTTGATCCAATATGCATAGAGGTGCGGTTTCCGAAAGGAGAAGATATATCAATTCCTGAGTACTTTCGAGGTGGACGTTTCGAGGGTGAAGACGAGGCATTCAGGGTAACAGTGCTTCCGCTGGCGGTCGGGAAGGTGGAGTCGGAATTGAATGGTTGTGCGCGGCTGGGAGGTCGAGTCGGAGACCTCTCACGAGAGACGTACGTCTGAGACCATCTGTCTGCAGCGGGCTCTTTGGAAGTTGCCCATTGTACTACAGGGGCTGACACCTCGTTTGATATGAACAGTTTACTGGTGCATGAAAATGGGACAAACCAACTGCTGTGCCACCACATTTGCACCGTTCTCCTATGACAATATTCCCGCACCTCCGACAAAAGCCCATCCTTTATCTGTCGACCTGCGGGGATTGTTTCAGTAATGTTAATTCTGGTAAGATCGCGACCAACGCCAGTGGGAAACAAAGTATTCGTGTAAAGAGAGCTGAAAACGCGCACGAGGCACAAGCAAGTCGAACATTAATGTCGCGGTCACATGACTAGTCACCTTCCTGTTTGGTCGAGATTTGAAAACAATGTCAAGGCGAGCCGCGGAGGAGCCGAACTATATGATTGTAGGCACATTGTCGTTTTATGCACCTGAACATTGTAAGCCAGCTTATATTGTCAGCCACGGGATCAGACTGTCAGGACAACTGTGCTGATCCGCCGGCTCTGGATGATTCGAATTCAGAGCATCCTCCCCAATTGTAAGGTAGCAGCTTTTGTTGCTAGTATTACTTAGGGCATCGACAATTGTGTCCGATAGGTGAATTTCCAGAACACAAATACTCCATATATATCCAAGGTATAAGTACTAACATGGTAGGCATATAACACAGCAGGATGTTGTAGCCCAGGACTGCAATCACCTACAGCTTCGCATGGGTGACTGGCTGCCAGTCGACACGCTCAACCTGCAAGGAAATTTGCTTAGCAAACATGAGCAGTTGCACAACCGGTAGTACCTACCATCTGCGGTACGAGTTCGCTGATGCTTCGGACGCCGAGCGATTGCATCCCAAAGCGGATTTCGCGTTCAAGGATACGCACCACGTGGACCACACCAGCCTCGCCGTATGCCTTTATACCAATTAGACATTATTCACATGCGACTGAATAGAACAACTTACACTCTGGGCATACAGGAACGCACGTCCCAAGCCGACAGCCCTTGCACCCAGACACAGTGCTTTAACGACATCGGTTCCACGGCGGATTCCCCCGTCGATATACACTGTCAAAGATGTGTATTAGTTCAAGCGAAATTTTGCTCAAATGATCGGGGAACCAGCCTTCAGTCTTCTCAAACACGTCAGGGCGTTGTTGTCGTATCCTGTACAACAACTCGATTGGTGGTAGAGAGTACTCTAATTGGCGACCTTGTTCATAACGTTAGCTTCAGTGATTCCGAGAGGCGAATAGATGAGGCACACCTCCATGATTCGATAGCACAATACCTTCACAACCAGCTTCACAAGCCAGAACAGCATCCTGATAGCCCCTATCACCATCTGGAATCTTTATACAAGGAGCCACATTTACTAACCTGAACACATTGAATGCCTGAAACAGTGGTGAAACAGAGTGACAAACGACGGTGCGAATGCACAAACCTTTGATGACGATGGGTAACTTTGTGATACTTCGAATCCATGGTATCGTCTACAGAGAGAACTTACTCCCTGGCTTCTCGTGAACTAAGCTACAACCCACCTTTTCCCAAGTCATGTCAGCATCGTTCTTTATGACAAGTCCACCAGCGGTTCCAAGCCGGTCAATCTCGCCTTGATCCCCATCCGACTTTCTCTGAGTGGGGAGACCTTGGTTCTCAAAGTCCTCGAGATAATGCGGTACCCTGATGTCCAACTCACGGTTACCAGGAACCAGAGCATCGACTGTCAAGAAAACCGCCTTGTAGCCTAATCCTTCGATTTCTCTTATGCGTCTCTCGGCAATGCCATCGTCAACGTGTTTATACAATTGGAAGAAGAGGGGCTGATCTGGGGAAACACGTGCAGCGGATATCTCTGCGTAAGAGAGAGAAGAGTTGGCGGACACCATTTGTATGATGCCAGTGTTATAGGCACCGCGCGTAAGATTGGCCTCGCCTAATGGGTGGCCTAGTCGGGCTAGCGCTGCACCGCTGATGTACACGGGTATCATGCTCTTATAACCAAGTATAGTCGTTGAGGTATCACACTGTGACACAGGTTTCATAACCCGAGGGTGAAAAAAGAAGCGGCCATAAGCACGACCATTCTCTACGTGTGCTGTATGGTTGACAACCGTGAAAGTGCAATTCAACTAGAGAAAGGCGCATGCTTACTGATAGAGTCGTCCCCGGCTGAAGAATAGTAAGCCAAGGCCCTATACGTCAGGATCTTCTTCGCAACTTCCTGCAGATTGCAGTGATGAGAGCACGGTACGGTAGTATACCTGAGTAACTTACTTCCATGTCCTCGACATTGACTATTCTCTGAAGTGGTGGCTTGTTCTTGAGCGCCTCTTCAACACGTAACTCATCTTTGGTTTGAACCTTGTTCTTCCCTGATTCCTTTAGGCGGTTTATTGACTCGCTGTCTAAAGTACCAAGGTGCTTTTCCGGAGCAAGGTTCTTGTCCAAAGCGTCTGATGGATGGATAGGTACGTATGCAGCAGTAGCATCCTTTCCTCCATATCTGAGGATGACATTCGCCCCTCCAGGGTGATCCTGGTGCATCTTGGTTTAACGCACGTACGACAAAATGACAATACCCACGAAGAGGAAGTCAGTCACATCGTAAACTTTGTTTTGGATGATGACCCAGCAGGAGCTAAAAATGTGATGATTGTTGTTTATGAAACGTGGTATGTAACGAACCTGGTTGTGGTATGCTGGGCGACTTGTTCAAGAGTGAACGTCTGCATGGTCGACTAGACTGTCCTGACGGAAATGCGGACAAACCGTAACCCCAAATTAGCTTAGAGCATGACGGTATTTAAAAGCATGCATCGATGCCGGGCCGGCTGTCCGCGAGTGAGATTGGACGACTGTACGTGACCCAGTTGGCAAGCAATGTCAGGTGTGCCTTGTGGAAGTCAATGCCATCACATTAGTAGACCAGAGAAAGAAAAAATAGATAACATCCTATAAGCATTGCGAGGTCGAGGTGAACCTAATTATGAGAATATCACGTGACTGTGGTTGGGCTCGCGTTGTGGCCACTGGCATCTGTTATTGTGTAGTTTCCATACTTAAACCACGCGCGCACCAGCAACCACAAGCAACAACTTGTCTCTTCGTTTCACTTCACTTTCATCTCAACGCCATCTCTCAATGATTTCTGTGCCAGGCCGTGAGGTCTTGCAGGCAATGAAACGAGTCGATATCCAGAAGTTGTGCAAAGTCAGATAAATCGCTCATGCTATACTTGTTACTAAATCCCCTTCACTAGGAATACGGCGTAAAGGCGAACCTCAAAACAGAAGCATTAATAGACCTTTTGCTTGATGCATCCCAGTGAGCCAGCCCCGATATTAACACCGATCCAGCAATTAATCACAACCATAGACCCCACCCCTCCCGAAGCATTCTTCCGCAGCCGCCCCAGCGATCTACATCTGTCAAAATAATAATTCAACCCGGCGATAGACCTCGCGGGCGCTCTAGTGGATCTGTCATCATCCATGATACCGACGAAGAAGAAGAAGGAGAAGAAGCTATCGGAGAAATAGAAGTGGAACAGCAACCGAAAGAACACAAACCTCCACCGGCCCCTGTTGACCCCACTCCAAGAACGCGCAAAGCTAAAGATACCCAATACCGTCTTGGTGTTGGTCGACCTGTCATTGCCGGAGGTAGCGGCGCTCGTGCTGTAACTAAATCTGCTAGTGTCTCAAGAGGGAGTAAGAGGGCGAAAAGCATAAAAAATGTCAAGCCATCAGAAGACCCCATTGCTGAAGGTGAGCGTTAACCTCCATCGATGCATCCGTCAGTGATCTCAGTATTTGCAGAGCCAGAACCAGAGCCAGAGCCGATTCCCGCCGTAACACGTCAGTCCCTTAAACAAACGAATTCAAGTTGTCGAGTTACTCACTCTCCCATAGCATCAGAACAAGCAGGATTGATCGACTCTTTGCCACTGCCCCAGCCACACTCCATACCAATACAGACCCATACCACAGGGATCATAGAGCCTTCGTCCTCCCAAATAGTTGAGAACGCAGTGGCTGCGGCTGTGAGTCCAATACATGTACGGTGTCTAATATTTATCTTACTCTCGGACATCACAGCTTGCTCCAGTACAAAAGGAACTGGAGGATCAGAAAGCTCAGTTGTCTGAGTTAAGAGACAAAGTCTCTGGCATAATCGAGACATTCGAAACACGAATTTGGGGCCTCGCGACAGAGATTGAACGCCTACGTGCACAAACACCTGGACATTGTACTGCTGAAATTCAGAGACCCAATGAGACTCCCCAACGAATACCAAATCCTCCTTCAACCCCCAAACGCGTACGCAGTCCGGTTGATCCTCTTGGGTGAGAATTTTTGTCATTTGACATGCTGCATCAACTTATGGGATTCCAGCGATGCTCTGCCAGAGTCGTCAGCAACTTCTAGCGATTCCCCGAATCCCAATGGCTTACTCGGTCATCAAGAGCGAGAGACAGATAACTCGAACCAGGGGGGGTCGCTTCTTCCTGGCTTTCGTACCATTCTTGGGAAGCGCCCTCGAGATTCTACTACCAGTACCACTACTACGTTTTTTGAGCTTGGACAAGAGGAAGAGCTTTCTGAAACTGAGATTGCGAAGAGAATTCCTCGGCCCGCTCAGAAGCGTGCTAAATTAAGTTCCTCTGCCATTACGGAGGACGCAGATGACTGTTCGGGCCCGTCGTCAGGCGCACAGGGAAGTCAAGACACCAATCCTGCCCCCTCACAACCCTCCCCAAGACCTGGTTTCCCCATATTCGGTGATCCTGGTTACGTAGAGATGCCTCCGCCCACAGACAGCCTCCTTGATTTCTTCGCACCACCTTCACCTCCGTTGATGAGCGTGTCCACCACTGTGGGAGCGCCTACAGATACTTTCCGTTTTGGTTATCTGCCTGCATCCACTCCAGCTCGTTTCACTTTCCCCACTGCAATGGGAACCTTCCCACATCCAGAACCCCCGACATCTCCATCACCAGCAAATAGTGTGGATCGGCCACGCAGTCGTCAGTCAGAGCACCTCGGGATTTTCGGACATCGCCGCGGTAGCTCTGGAACGACTGGCAGGAGTGGGTCAGGCGGACCGGCAGGCGGACAAGAAAGTGGTCTAAATCCCTCGATGTGGGCTGGCAGTATACAGAGACAGCCATCCAGCAATGAGGTGGCTTCGGGTTTGGGACTGACTGTACTGCGCACTGCGGCGACGGAAGAGGGCACTCCAGTACCTCCCGCACGCCGTACTATGTACGGGACTGAGTTAGAAGGGGACACTCGGTTTGGTGATTTTGGCGTTGAGGGTGTGGCGACTGGCTTTTGGGCTGGAGGAAGGCGCTGATAATTTTATCATTTCGGACAAATTTCGGACCTTTATTTTGCTTTTACTGTGTGTTACGACTATCTACCTTTCATCCTAATATACTCCATTATCATTCATACACGCACTGCTCTGTCAGTAGATCTGATGTATTTTTGCATCTTCCTGTATTGTTACTTTGCTCTACTATCCATTATATGGTGCGAATGAGACTATAAGTACATAGTGATAATATCGAAACCAGTGCGACAGTAAATAGATAAACCAGTGCGATGAATCTCACGATGTGGTGCTGAGTCCAGGGTAATAATATACGGCGGACATCTGTACAATTGCCAACAGTCGAAAGATGCATATCATGGTCTAGATCGCCGGGATGAAGGACATGATTTCGTCGTATAGAAGTTCTGCAGATAGTTGACGACACCAGCTATTGGGAAGACTAGAGTCACGTACCTTTCAGTTCGGCTTTGGTGAGGTCGTCTTTGAATTCTAAGAACAGGAACTGAGTGAGTGAGCACACTAGAGGGATTCGAACGAAACCCACGGTCAAAATCGAAGTAGTCGGGATCAAAGGATGCTACAACTGGTTCGTCCTCTGGGTCATGCTGTTTGCCCGAGTTAAGTGTGACAGAGGAAATAAATATATTCGAACTTACATATGCAGCAAGATATGGATGGTTGAGAGCTTCATCAACCGTCAAGCGTTTTTTGGGATCGAAAGTCTATGAAGAGGTATACCATCGCTCAACAATTTCAAAGGAAGAAATCGACATACCAAAGTTCTCTGCAGGAAATCGATGGCTTCGGGCGTTGCTTTCGGGAAAAGCGATTGAAACACCCGTCTTTTGCGGATTGGAAGAGCGCGGATATAATCCCTTGATCTCCTTGAAGTGATCGAGTAGAACTCGTCCAAGGTTGGCGTGCCTTGGTACAGACATTTATAATGCTATACGCTCCAGGACCAAGAAAGGACATACCAATTATATCCAGGATGAGATTCAGCTGATGCGAGTAGTCACGTCCGGGAAACAAGGGTTTACTCGTCAGCATTTCTGCAAGAATGCACCCAACCGCCCACAGATCAATAGCCTTCACAACCATGTGCGATAAGGGATGCGACCATCAGGAAATCGGGGGAGACTAACCTTTGTGTACATCTTGAAAGAAAGCATGATCTCTGGTGCACGATACCATCGCGTCGCTACATATTCAGTCATCAACCCAGCCTCCTTGGCGCCCGGGGTTGTTGCTTTGACGCTCCTCGCCAGGCCAAAGTCGCAGACTTTGAGGTCGCAGTTAGCATTGAGCAATAGGTTAGCCGGTTTTAGATCTCGGTGAACAATATCGGCGCTATGTATAGATTTGAGACCGCGGAGAATCTGGTAAATAAAGTACTGGACAGCAACAATCAGATCACGTCGGATTTCAGATAAGTTGCCAAAATTCACCTGGCAATGATCGTCAGTAAGCTGTTGAGTCCGTATCACACGGTGAAGATCGGTCTGCATGAATTCCTGTATGACTTTCTTGGATTCAGCACGCGACCAAAGTAGATAGATTGGATGAACTCACAGTACACTTCCTTGAATTCTTCGAGTGATGGTGGCCTCGTTATATCTAATATAGAGATGATCTGCAATTATGACTCTATGACAGGTCCTCCTTTGATGAACGAAGAACTAACGAACGTTCTCATTGACACAGGTCTCCGAAAAGAATTTCAGGAGCTTCAGCTCTCGCAATGTTCGAAGGCAGAATAGTGTGTGGTCAAAAGGCAGGATCTTTTTGATGGCTACCTGCCGGCCAGTGGGTTTATGTGATGCAGCCACAACTGTTCCATATGCTCCTTCACCCAGACAGTGTAAAATCTCGTAGTCGGGACCTTGAAAGCTGACTTAGCGCAAGGCATCTACAAGACGATAGCCTGCCACTCACCGACTTCAAACCGAGCAAGAGGCTTTGCTACCTTCACTTTATGTACACTGGCAGGTGCTGCGACCATTCTGATGAGAAACCGGATATATCTACTATTAGAAGTAGGGCGTCAGAACTTTTGTAAAAGTCGGCTAGACAGAAAATCGTCACTTTATAGATGTGGTTGGGGACTCTTATGAAATCGACTTGACACCGACCCTATGTATGCAATCAGCATCTGCGGTACCGGTGTGATGAGGAATGATGGCCTAGGAGGTGCAGTGCTGGTAACGGGCAGTGTATCTGTCTCTCGAGCACCCGCCATCCGGGAAAAGCTGAAATAGACCGCGTATCGGTAATAGCAGGTAGCATATCAATCACCACACGGCTGCCAATTACAGGGGGTATCAGCTTAGACACAGCCTTGCAGGTACTTCTCGGGGATTCATTCGCAGAAAGACTTGAAGCCTGCGGTAACGTTCTGATTGGTTCCATAATTGTCGTATGCTATCGCAATTACGGCTTCCAAGCACAAGTCCACAGCCCAGTTATCACAGGACCCCGTACTAAACGAAGCAGTCTACGAATTCGTCCCACGTCGCTCTGCTTGAACTACCTTACCATACAGGACTTTGCCAGACAAGTGGTTAAAATCACTCGCTGCATACATCACATGCATATTGAAGTCAGGTATGCTATAAAGCGCCTGATTCAAGCGGCGAAGTCCTTTTTCGATCGAGGTACATGAAAATGGGTAGCTGTGGCCTGTCAATAAAGTACTGGAAATCTTTCGACGACATGTCGCACCCCTGGCAGATGCACTCGGCAGTCGGCTTTGTCGTGACCTGTGGCCAGTGCAAACGAGATTTTGCACCGTTCGTATTTCAACGGGTGCGATGCTCTTCCTTCCCTGGACCTCGTGGATTTGGCGGTAATTCTCATACAGATGTCAGCAAACGTGTCGACGCATTCTGCATAGATGTGCAGATTGTACATTTGTAGCCGTGTTCAATACTTTCAACTCTCACCGGTGCACCATTATTGATCTGGGAGATAAACGAAAGGCATGTTGCATCACGCATATCTTTAGCACATCAAGGGCATCGAGGGCTGTGCAACCCCTCTGTTGTGTCACTGGTAGATCGCCTCAGGATATCCCATGAACAATTCCTTCCATATAATTTGTGAGTATGTTGCCATTTAGTATCTGGTCATTTTTCCAATCTTTATCTTACACAGATCATTGATTTACTAGTTGCCTTGGCACCTCGCACCCTTTCGCGCCATTGATCCTCGTTGATCTCGTTTCAACGACTTGCAGGCTGTTGCGGTGTTGTTCGTTTTCCCATGGGCCACAGGTGATAGTAATCCCAACATATTAGATTACCACGACAAACTAAAACTGCACAGCAGCATTCTACTAGGCAAGAGTACTAAGTACTGAAGCTCGAAACATAGGCTCAATAACCAGCGTTTCATTTCTGGCGTCAGAGAACAGCGTTTCGAGTTGGACATAGTTACATACTGTCGCTAATCACCTAAGTCACATAAGTCTGTTAACGCCAAAGTAAAGTGCTCAATCTGCTTACTGCAACTTGTACGAGTCATAACACTAGCACTAGTACTACTTACCAGTACCAGTGTTTGGTGAACGTACCCAACGTAAAGACAGTACTAGCGAAACTGACAAGCGTGCCGGTGGGCTCCCTGTGACTTCGTTTGGTGTTCCATCTAGAACTTGAGACTGGGGCTAAATTAACAGTTCAGCCAGATATCATGTCGAGCGACCAGAGAATACAGGAAATAACATATGAAAGCACAGATCTCATCCAAAGAGCTACTCGTCTGCAGCTGCCATCGACTCCCTAGCTTTTTTCTCTTTTTTAAGCCGTTTCCTCTCCCGTCGAGCCTCATCATCCTCTTCTTTTCCTTCCTCCTTCTTTCCCTTCTTTTCCTTCCTCCGCTTCTTCCGCTCTGCTTTATCCACATCGTCTTCCGCTGCAGGTGCTTCTGCCATGGACACATCGGCAACAGATTCGGCTGCCTCCGACTTCCGTTTCCGTTTTTTCTCCTTCTCATCTTTCTTCGGGGAAATAGCCTCGGCAACAAGTTCTGCGACTACCTCCACTTTTTGGGCAGGTGCAGGGGTAATCGTGGAAGGGCCGGATTGCTAAAGAAGGAAGCGATTAGGACCCTCAAGCTGTTTTGGAAGGATCTTGCATACCTCTCGATTGTAGTCCACGTAGTCCTTGCTCCATTCCGCAGGTGTTGCTTCATTCTTCTCACCATACTTGCCCAGCTTCCCTTCCTGACCATTTTCTTTTTCTGAAGAGCCATGGGTCCAAGACCCCAACGGCGTGGGTAGGTGTCACGTTCCATGATACATCGTTTCACTTTTGCAACAACTCCATGATCACAAGTGGCAAGTTCAACCGTCGACATTTGTGCAATAGCCAGAGCTATAGCTTCACCTGGCCGAGGATATTAGAGGGATACCTGAATAAGTGACTAAATTTAGCAAACCTTTTGTTGTCATCAAGACCACTTCTTCGTTAACTGCAATGTCCGCTTCGTAGCGCAAGAGCCCAGGAATCATGAGCTTCGCGCCGTAGCAGACTGCATTGACCGCACTGTCTTTCACAACAATGCGCTTATATCCCACGAGCAAGCTCTCCAGAGGCCGGATAACGCGGCGCAAGTACGATTCTGCACATGATATTAGAATATATCCTGATAACGCGTGCAGGAACTTGCCATCTCTTGTGTTATCATACATCCACTGAGCATCCAAAACATCATGCATGGTCACAATGTCATCATTTTCCGACATCGCACCACTCCTTACCCTCCTAAGTTCTTGCATGTGTCCACCCACGCCCAGCAAAAGACCAAGGTGAACGCAAAGCGTTCGGATATAAGTACCAGCCTCACATGACACCCAAAATACGGCAAGATTACGTTTTTCATCGAACTCCAACAACTTCGACTCGTATATCGTTCGAATACGCAACTGTCGTTTTACAGCAGAGATCAGTGGTGGCCTCTGGAAGAGCGCACCGCTGAGTGTCTGCAATGCCCGAGGGAGGGCAGTGGGATCCGGTAGATTTGAGTGCAAGCGCAGCACGCATACATATTCCTTGCCTAAACAACTTTGGTAAAGAGGGTTTCAGCTGAGTATCGATGTGTACTAACCTGCGCCTTGCTGGGACTTGACCAATCGCGTAGCGCGGTCAATACAAACAATCAAGCACCCTGTGACCTTAGGGTCAAGCGTACCGCTATGTCCAGTTTTCTCAACACGTAGAATGCGCCTCAACCAGGCCACGACTTCATGCGATGAAGGATTAGAAGGTTTGTCAAGATTAATCACACCTGATCTTCAAAGACCTCAGTATTGAGCGAAAAATGCACGTGGGGTACTCACTTGATGTATGAGACAAGGTCTCGTTTCAATGGACTGCTTCCAGACGGTATGGGTGTAAAATGACTGGAGCGAACGAGTAGCTTGTCATAATTTTTGAGCAGGAGGGGCCATTCCGATGTGTCGAGTTTGGGCTGCAAACTTTCAGATTTTATAGCGAAGTCACCCTGCAGTTGGGCAGAGGCGACTTGCTCGCGAGTAAGCGTTGAAGTCATCACTCAAAAGTTTGGTAGCGACCCAGGATCGCAAGTATTAATTTCTTCGTTCAATCAGAGAAGAAATGTCATGTGAGAAGATATTTCCAAACTTGAAATATCGGCATCTTCCAGAAACGTGATTTGGAACTGTACAGTTACATATATCACAGCAAACCTAATCTCTCAGTCACCGTTGCAGAAACGAACCTCAAGACCTCAAGCCTCTATCCCTCGTTTTCAAGATGGTCAGTCCTGGCACCGCTTTGCTGAGTTACCTTCTCAGTAGGCTCATGTCCTGCGGACTTCCGCTTTGTTCTTTTGTTAGCCCAAAGCTGCTGGTGGAAAAGCCCCTGCTGTCAAGCACAGATTTGTGATCGATTACTCCCGCCCTGCAACCGACGGCGTCTTCGATGGCGCTGACTTCGAAAAGTTCTTGCACGATCGTATCAAGGTCGAGGGCAAGTCTGGTCAGCTCGGTGAAAACGTCAAAATTGTTCGAGATGGTGGGATATACTATGCCAACATACACTTATTATATTCTTACCTATTTTGATAGGCAACAGCAAAATAACTGTTACCTCCAACATCCCTTTCTCAAAACGCTATCTCAAGTACTTGACGAAGAAGTTCTTGAAGAAAAACACCCTGCGTGACTGGATCCGGGTGGTCGCATCATCGAAGGATGTGTACGAGCTGCGTTTCTACAACATTGCGTAAGTGATTTCCACTTTTCAAAACATTTTATCTCACAAAAGATGCAGCCGTGATGGCGAGGAGGAGGACGAAGAGTAATCTCACCACTCCACATGTTTCTTGCCAATCGTATCTTATGGCTATGTCATGACATCTCAAATTACTGCTATGTCCCATCATCGTCTTTTTTGGCTTCGTGTGCATGAGTGTGAGTGAGGACAAGTGCATAGGTTTTGACACAAGAGCGCAACGTGGATACATCATATTACTTAGATCTACATCAAAGCTAGGCCGATGGGGTGCATTATGGCAGTTTAATCATCAGCTTAGTACCGTCATCTCCCGTTTCCAGTTTGATTTTTCCCAAAGCTGCGGTGGCAAGTTCATACCATAACACTTGAGACTCTGACAATGGTTTACCACGGAGTTGCAGTGCAAGAATCGTGGTTAAGTGTTGGCGAAGAATCTTGAGCGCAACATTGGCTTTGGGGGCGAGCTGATATCTGATTTTCCGATCAATGGACAACATGTTAGAGTGAATCTGGGTATAATGCTATGATGTCAATGTCTCATGTTCATGTGGGACGTTGCACTAACCTTGAATTCACTCTCCCCGCATAGGAGCACAATAGCGAGATCGTCGATGGGTCCGGTCTCCCAAGCATACATCTTCTTGGAGTACCTGTAAACCTCTGTCAGTACTTGTCACCTTCATTATAATGTACGATTACATGAGTGTGAAGTAAACGAGATGGTTAACACCAAAGTCAGTGGGCTTCCTGCCAAAGTTAACGGAAGTAGGGTGAAAAGCAGCAGATTGGTTATTTGATATAGTGCGCATTTGCCTAGAGGAAGAGTCGATCGCCAGCACTTTAGGATAAAGTCCCGCAGTGAGAGCTGAGTTGATGAGAGCAATATTAGACCCATTGCTATCCAGAGGCGGCGGTATGTTCACGAAGCGCGTGCGGTTGCGACTGAAACGCGCACTGGATAGGGGCATCAGCAATGGGGAGGCGTTAGACACACTATTACATACCGGCTGAGTTCCCGAACGAAACTCCTATCAACAGTAATAAACGAAGAGTCGACCAAGAAGCTGCAACGGACTTCTAAGTCAAACACTGATCATGGATCAAAATCATCATACCCTAGAAATTGTTGACGTAACTCCTCGATCTGTTGAAGATTCTGGTGGCTAAGGAAATTAACCCGACAGAACTTGCGCACGAAACTGGGATTCTCGGATGCTCTACGCCAACTCGAAAATGCATTATGGATCGTCAAGAAGTCCGAATTATCTGAAAAGTGGACGTAAGTTCATTGTCTTATAGTGTAGTGCACAACTAACCAACGCGGAATGAACTCTTGGCACGGTCTGCTTCTTGCTCCATGCCCATTGGTACTATGAACGGGGACTTGGAGCTCAAAGCAGCAGCAACTGTTAGCGCGGGGTCCAGACATCGGAACAATACCGCGGTGAGCAAGAATTTCCCTAGATGCACGTCTGTAGGCAACATGCTCAGAAGTCTACCCATCGGAGTGATGTCCTCTGACGGTGTGAGAGCGCGGACCTAAGCGACAGATGAGAAAGGTAAACACGAGGGTTCTGGTGTCGACAAACCTCGACTAGTGCTGAGATAGCTCTTTGCACATTGACCGGCGTAGGAGGATCCAGTGCGCGGGATAACACATCCTCGATGGAGGTACCAATTTTCACCTTCATAATTTTGATACGCAGGGCGAGGTCTGATAAACTGAGCCGCATCATCTCTGGCAAAGGATGTTCTGCCAACTGAGTACAGGTTTTCAGTAAAAGAGACAACTCAGGAATGCCCAAGTCTTACCAATGTGTCATGACGAATTTTGGTGAACAAGTGGAAACATAGTCCATTCTGCACCCGTCCTGCGCGGCCTCTACGCTGAGCAGCATTACTTTTGGCAACGAATGTTTCGACCAAACGACTGAGTTGGCGCTTTTCGTCAAACCTAAGGGCAGTCGGTGATTGTTGACTTCAAGAGGGAGGGGTGGTACCGACCTCATCTCACGATGTTTGCCAGTGTCTATGACACAGGTAATGTCAGGAATAGTAATACCTGTCTCAGCGATATTGGTCGCTGCGAAGAAGTAATGAGCAATGATGTTTGGCTTCGAGGAGCAGATGCAAATAAGAACCTATAACGATTTTACGAACTCCCTGGGGAGGGACGTCAAAGACTGCGCTCTGATTATCGCTCGACAGCGTAGAATGCAACGGATATAACCAGAAGTTGTTTTCATCCCCAAATGCATGATGTTCGGTAAGAAGATCATTCATACGCCGAATTTCCCCTAAACCAGGCATAAAAATTAGAACAGCTGCTGAAAAATGATGGCTCTCTTTATCCTCAAAGCAGAGGCGTTCTAGTAGACGAACAATCAACTCGTAAGGAATCACGCGCTCATCAAGAAGATTGATGGTGTTAATCGTTTGATAGGAGTAACGCTTCTCCAGCCTCATAGACTGGCTAGAAATCTGCTGTTCACCATCGACTAGCGTCTCTTCGTCATCATTGCCGTAGACAGTGTCTTCGTCCCATTCAAACCTGTTCCTATTCTTGTGGGATTTGTTATGTACTGATGAATTATTCGAGTAAGGGAGCGTATTGCAAGAAAAGTTTAGAAACTGACTCACGATTAATCGCATAAGGTGAATTTTCCTGGATGGACCAATCTGCGTACTCTATAGCATCCTCTAAGAAGCGAATGTCCACAGGAAAGGTTCGACCTGGGACATGTAATGTGGGGCATCCGTTGAAATAATTGGACAGTTTGTCCGCGTCCACTGTGGCCGACATGAGAATGATTCTGCGATGCACTTGGTCAGTGAGCTGCGTAAGCTAGGGCGGGCGTGCTGACTTCAAATCCGACCTCTGGGAAAGAAGAGATTTCAGAACAATGAGAAGAAAGTCTGACTCAATGCTGCGTTCATGGACCTGTACAATCGGACGTATAAGAAGCTTGGGCTTTGGAGATAGCTGCACAAACCTCGTCGATAATGATGTGCTGCAGATAGCATTAGCTGCGTCTTTACCCTGATTCATGTTTCGCTCACCGTGATCTCATCAAATGCGGTACCTTGACCATTGGGGCCTGTGCCTCCCTCCAGCATACGAAGCGCGATACCATTCGTGACAAACGCCAGGCGGGTATTCCGTGTAGTATTGCTTTCTAGTCGAATCGAATATCCGACAAGCGAGCTCGAGGTTCCAACGGCACCAGCAGAGTCGCCTAGCTCACGAGAAACCCGTTGAGCAAGAGACACCGCTGATATTCGACGCGGCTCCGTGCAGTATATCTTGCAAGGGAGGCCACGAGCCAGCTGATCCTCTAGAATGAATGCAGGAACTTGTGTTGATTTGCCGCTGTAAAACCAGAGGATAAGTAAGGTGCGCCTTCAAGACGTAATGTCACTTTACCAGCCAGTCTCGCCACTGAGCACGAGGATCTGCGAATGGTCAAGAATGGATAGGATTTCATCTTTATACTTCGCAATAGGAAGCTGCTTGCGGTGATGCTACGAAGAGAGCTTAAAAATATGGATTGAACCTTCACTTCTGGAGTCCCACTTACAAGCATTTCTTGATATGCAGGTCGCATTTGTCGCGCCCTGAAGTCCGCAATGACATGATCAGAGCTGGTGTCATTGCGAGGCGGAAGCCGAACTGGTGTGGGGTCCCTGACTTCTGCAATGGCCCTCGTGTTCTTCTCCATCAACTGGAAAGCAAAGCTCAATGCGAGAAATTGGTATTCCAATGAGGAACATTACCATTGGACGAGCATCAATCTTTTTTTCAACAATGTTTCTCATATTCGCCCAGACTTGGCGATTGATCAGGTCCTCCCGTAACTTTCTGTCTATCTCAAGCTCATCCCATAAATCTCTGAAGACAGGCGGGAGTAACCGGAACGACGTATGGTTGGCTAAAGCACCGGAAGACCCGACCGCAAAGCCGTCAGTGGCAGGGAACGTAAGAGCGTGTAAAGCAAGCGTTGCGACATAGTACTCTGCCTGGATTTCAGTATGACAGGCAACATCGCGCATGTTCCACTCATCCATCTTTTTTCCCTCCCAGTTGACCGTAACACATGCGCGTTTCGCACGACTCGACCCAGAAACAATACTGTAAGTGACCGCGGCGTACCGGTCAACCTTGAAGACAAACTCGGCTAGAAGTGTCTTCGGTGTTTTACTGGACCAGTGCTTGGGCAAGACCATGTCCCGCATGCGAATCATGATCCCTCCCTCTCCAGCAATTTCGGAAGGAAGGGTATCCAAGATCTCAAGCATGCCACCGAGACCCTCCTCGTGTTGGTCAAAGATATCGGGGATGTCAGACGACGCAGGTATATCCTGTTTTTCAACACGTGGACCAGCATTGAGGGGCTTTGACACTTTCTTCTCTCGTGTTGCCGACAGCTCCGGACTCGATCCTCGTAATCTTGACTGGAGTAAAAGGACGTCAACCCTAGCACGTTCTGACCGATACTGCGTTTCTGCATCCTTTTCGTCAAAGAAGTAGTGCGACTTCAAAGCCATAAGCTTGTCTTGGAGACGCTGGACCAGTACAGGGTCATAGTGAGCCACTGGCTTGCCTCTGGTAGTAAGATCTGTTATTTGCATCTTTATACGGACGTACTCCGCGACCAGGTCATCCATATCAGGTGAACTGGATCTCGATGGAGAAGACCTCGTCGATTCGGCAGGAAGGATATCTCGAGTGTTCAGCAAGTCTACATCTGGCGCTGGCCGTTGTCTCGCCGGCACAAACACCGGAGCATTCGCATCAAGCTTTGATACAGCTGGCACTGCTGGAGAAAGTGGTAAGGGGGCGGATGACGGCAAAGGACTTCTTGGTGTCGGAGACTGAAGCTCTTTACGCTTTCTCCGAGGCACTTTCGAGTCATCAAGGTCCTCAGCCACTGTTGACACGCGAATTAGAACTACAATTATAAACTTGAACAACGGTCATCTCACCTTTCTCTTCAAGTTCGTTTTCGGAGCAGTAGATGTAAAGCTGCAAGAATGTAAGCGCTGGCTTAAGGGGTAGAGAATGGACAAACCCATTCATATGCTTCCTCCAGATCTACCCCCTGGATTGCCCTGAGGCATTCATCTACTCTCTCCTGTGAAAAGCCTAGCCTTCTCAGAACACCATAGGTAATTCCAAGTCGCGTCACTAGTTTCTCTTCCGTCTCCTCTAAAAGTTTTCTCTCGCCTGTAAAGAGAGGTAAGGCGCTTATTGTGACAACGGGTTGCACCAACTCACACTCAGGGCTCTCCCAGTATAATTTGAAGATGTGCTCTACTAGAACAGGATCGACTTGCAATGAAGGCAATGTCTTAGAGAACCGCCGGTCAACTTCGATAGCCTTGATAAAGATAGACTGATCAGCACGATTTTATATCGACTGTGACACCAAGTATCATTAACCTTGATGGTTCTGAGCGTCTCTTTCTCCGTTTTCTCCTGATACTTATCGACAAGGTTCTGCAGTGACTGTTCTTCTACTTTATCTGGGTCGAAAGAGTGGTCTTGAGGAGCATCAGATTGGACGCGAGTAGCCGTGCTGGGGTGCAACGCGTCACTTGTTGGGGCCTCTTCAGCTGTAGTATCGGTGATCGCATCATCTATATTTTGTTCGTTTTCAACCACTTTCTTCGGCACTGATGTTGTCGCGAATCCACGCGCAACTGGTTTGAGCTGCGATTTCTTTTTCTTCGCCATCTGCTCTCCCAGCAAACAATTGATCAAGCACCTCTCTTCGTCTCTCACTCAGCACGATATTGTCCTTTCAACGTTGATCGTTGTTTTTCGCAGAGATTGGGAACTTCGAGAAGATATAGGTTTGAATCGCGAATTATCAGATTCAGCAATCAAGGTTATCGGTAGAGACGAGTGAAGTGTGTACCAGGATATTAATGAAGTTTTGCTATTCAAATGAAGGTGCATGGGGGCCAGTCGATGTAGATCAATTACAAGAGCTAGGCCTCGTTGTAGTGCAAAAAGACGTGTAGTACGTGACTGACTTGTGCAATTGGATACATATCTAAGATTTCTCACGCTGATCATAGTTCCACATAAATAACACAGATTATAAGGACATGCAATAAGTAACTAAATGCCAGACCTACATTGACATACGGAGTTGAATTAATCTACAGAAGTTGGTAATGTGCGTGAACAAAGCAAAGCAAAGGTGAAAGCAACAAAGACAGAAAATCACTCAGCGTCAACAGCAGGAGTCACATCCCCCGTTCCAGGATCCTTCTTTCTACTCCCCTTTCCAGTCGTTTTTCGCGGACGTGCCGCACTAGCTTTCCGCTTCTTTCCTTTGGCTGGCACCGTTGTTCCCTCCTCTTCTTCCCCGCCCTCAGGCGGTGCAGCAGCAGCATTGTTATTGCTGGAATGGCCAAAGAAGTCATCGCCTTCTTCATTCCAAAGATCTCGCATAGTATCACCAGAAGGGCCTTGTGAAACCCCCACAGCTTGTTTTCCTGTTTTCTTCGAAGAGGATCCCGAAGTATTCGAACTATCAAGGTTTGCGAGCTGGTCATCGTTGAGGAGAAGCTGGACAATTTCGCTGGGTTTCGTGACGTCTGTGAAGTTTTTGTTGCCGACCACGATATCTTGTACCTGAAGGGACATCAGTTGAACAACCTGCACTTTAGGGATAAAAATAGCTTACATCTTTCTTGACACGAGCTAACTGAATGATACGCTCATCGATGGTGCCTTTCGTGATCAGGCGATAGACAGTCACTTGGCGCGTCTGACCAAGACGATGAGCGCGATCCATAGCCTGCGCATCGTTTGACGGATTCCAGTCGTGATCGTAGAAAATAACAGTGTCTGCTGCGGTCAGATTGATTCCGAGACCACCCGCGCGAGTACTTAGAATAAATATGAAGATGTCCGAGCTAGATAACATTGATCAGAGTCGAGGATACACAACCTAAGTCGAACACTAACCGTGTCTGCCAATCCATCACCATATCTCGTCGATCTTCCAGCTTCGATGAGCCATCGAGACGTAAATATTTGTACTGGCGATAGATCAGATATTCCTCCATAAGGTCCATCATACGAGTCATTTGGAAATATATCAAGACACGATGGTCGCCCGCCTTGAGCTCCTGAAGGAGGGCATCTAACCGAGCGAGTTTAGCAGAGTCATATATAAGTCTCTTTGCCTCTGGTATTTGTATGCTTGAAGACGGTAGCTGGTCTGAAGGCGAACTTCCGACAAGTCCTGCGGAAGACAGAGCAGGAACTAGGGTATGGTATGCCTGATCAATGGTAGGCAAATCTCGGAAGTGCTGAGGGAGACCGTAGATTGCTAACGATTCGATTGGTGCCTCCAATAATTGAACTTGATGCTCTATGAACGTCCGATCCGTGCAATAAAGAGAAATTGGAGGTGCTACAGCCGGCGGCACAAACCACTTCAAGGCCGGTCGAGCTAGATTAGATCCCTGCCAAGCTGTTAAAGATATATCGAGAAGATGTGGCAGGCCTTCTGCGGTATCCAGGCTCAAAGAGAGACGGGGGCTTATGCTGAATGGATGTGCGCAAGCATGAGCTGCAAATTCTGCTTCCCTATGAAAACGGTCAGTCGGACGTTGAAAAAATAGTCATAGTTAGCTTACGATGAGATCCCTCTGTCCTCAACAATCCTGTTTTCTTCCTCAAGAGCCCGAAGCCAATTGCGCATGAAGGAAGACACCTGAAGACCGTGGACATCACTTGGTGTGGCGTTCAGGAGTCGAAGAAATGCGAACGCAGGTGAACCTATAATATGTTACATTCAAGGGGCAGTTACTCAAGTACCATCACACACCTTCAATATCGTCGAACGTCGAACGATGTATCCACTCCGTCGACCAAATATTGAAAAGGGTACTCGTGCAGTCCGATCGCCTACGCAAACCAGACTTTTCGCAAGGGACATCTATAAGCCCGCCATCTTGGTGGAATAACGCCGGAATTTGGTACTCAATAGGGTTATGAGTCGAGTAAGGAAGGGCAATGAAATCGCCTTCACGGTTCAGCGGACCAGATTGGCCGAAGCGAGAGAATGAGAAGGGAGCTACCACGTCCGCACGTTCAAAGAGCTCGGGATGGTTACAAACCTACATTGAAGCAAGTTGGTCAGTGTTTAGGAATGATAAGACCAAATCTTACACACCTTCCGGAACTGCATCACGAGGTTCATTAGTGATCGAGCAGAATCAGCATCCCCTATGTTCGCGGCCTTCTCTAATAGATCTACCACAGATACATTCGCCAGAAGTGCACGATAGAGAGTACGTTGGCGTGATGACAGGTCAACGTAATGATCGATCTCAATCTGGGTAAGGTAAAATATGAGCGATCGCTCCTTGGTGAGTGAATTGGATATAAACCTTCTCGCTCAACTCGTTTTGAACGTGTCGTTTAACTCGCCGTAACATGAAAGGCTTCAATATCATGTGCAACCGCCGTAGTTGACGTTCATTGAGCTTGCTGCCCTTGTTCTCTGCGGCGTTCTCGATATCCTTGGAGAACCATTCGTTGAACTCGTCATGGGAGTCAAAAAGACTGGGCATGATGAAGTGAAGCAATGCCCACAGCTCTATGTGGAGATTAGTAAGTAGTGATGTTGCTGCCCTATCTCACTTGCCTTGCATTGAGTTTTGGATTGGTGTGCCCGTCAAAAGCAAACGATTGCGACATTGGAATCCGAGCAGTGTTTTCCATCGCACACTAGAGGCATTCTTGATGTTCTGAGCTTCGTCCAGAACCATATATTGCCATTTCACGCGCTGGAAGTACTGCTGGTCTTGAGTAACCTGATACAGACATTAGCCCAGCTACAAACATCATGCGATCGCAACTGACCAATTGGTAGCTTGTAATCAGGACGTGGAACGGTGCATCCTTGTCATAACTGATTTCTTTCTTGCTCCAGAACTTGCGCAAGGTGGTTCGGTCTTTGACGTTCCCCCAGTAAGGCAAGGCTTTCAGACCAGGCACAAAGCGAGTGATCTCCTGTTGCCAGTTGTGCAATGTGGAGGCTGGCGCGACAACCAAAAATGGCCCCCATATGTCGTGTACCTCAGCAAGGTACGCAAGGAGAGATATTGATTGTACGGTCTAAGGTGCAAGGAGTGTAAGGCAACTTGCGCGGTATTCTGATCAATCTCACCTTTCCGAGACCCATCTCGTCAGCGAGAATGCCATTGATACCTTGTTCGTACAACGTAGCGAGCCAATTCAGACCTTTGAGTTGGTACTCCTTCAGCTGCGCCATGAGCATCTTCGGTTGCTTGATCTTGAGTTCTCCAGTGAGTGACGTGGGATTCTGGAAGTTGAGTTCATCGGAGTCCACTGTGTGTACACCATTGTTAATATATTTAGCTTGGGCATCCAGGAAGAACTTACAGTCAACCAAGGGCGTATTCGAAATGCCTGAGAGCCCTGACTCGTCATCGTCCCTGATGTGGGCCTGAGCCTTGGCAAGTTTCAAAGCTTCGTTCGTTTTCCTATCGAGTGCAGCTTGCGTGTCAAATTGCTGAGCCCTTTGTCTGGCAAGAGCGATAGCTTCCTGAGCGTTATGCCGTGCATGTCGGTGAAGATTGGTTTGGTCCTCTGATCATAAAGTTCAGCCTCCAAATGGTCAAGACACGGATAAAGAAAACTAACCGTCATCAAAGTCAATCTCTCGAAGTACTGATGGGTCAACGTCTTCGAGAGCAGCACCCACTGGCGTCGAGGTTTCCGGAGTATCTCCTTGTACTTCAGAAGCTAGGATCTGAGTGTCAGCGAACAGCCACCACAGCACCGAAAAACAAGACTCACTCTTGAGCTTGTTACCGACGAAATGGCTATACAACTCAGTTTGACTGATCAAGAACTCAAGTTTGCGTGCTTGACGTGCCGCCTCCCTTTTCTCTTCCTCGACCTTCGCCCTGTCAATGGCCTCCTTCTGCTCGCGTTTTCGGACGTCTCTCTCTTCCCGTTCATTCTTCTTCCAGAAGACCAACATCTCGCGCATCAAGCGTTTGCCTTTTGCTTGAATGTCCTTTTGAGCTTTCGCGGTTTTCGTGAAAGGCCGACGTGCTTGGATGGATGATAGTGTGGCCAAGCGCTTGAGCTGACCTTGACGAGCCTGGTAGCCCATCGCGGCGTACTTGTACACCTGTGCAACGAGGTGAGAATGCAGACAGAACGTAATGCAAGATCTGACATACCTTAGCAATGTCTCTCCGAGCGATGTTTGTCCAAACTTTCTTCTGAGCCTCCTCCAAATTCTTCAAGCGTTTGGCCATAGCATTCTCGTCAATCTTTTTAGCACGCTTGAGAGGAGGAACGATCTCGTCTAACTCGTACACGACAGAAGTTGCAGTGAGCGCAGGCGATACAGGCCTAGATGCCGAAGGCGTGATGTCTCCAGCGACCGATGCTCCAGCGGAGCCAATACCAAGGCCCCCAAGAGTATCAGGTGGCAAAAGCTTCTTCCCGCCACCACCCCTCTTGCGACTTTTGGGTGTTGCACTCGGTACAACACTGTCTGTGCTCGCTTCCCGCAACTGACTCTGTTTACCCTTCCCTTTCGCTTTTGATGAAGCAAATTTGGAAGGGCTGATCCCGCCGATAGATCGTTCGAACTCGTCAGCGATTGAAGCAGAGTCTTTGTCGACCTTGCGCTTCTTCGCTGCAGGTTTGTTTCTGGATGAAACAGGGATCTCAAGGTCACTGCTCTCGTCTGAATCTGCACCATCTGCACCACGCTTGAGTGAGTCCTTGTGCTTCTGATTGCGACCGAGGTAAGACTCCTCAAACAACCGAGCTGCGTCTTCTGCACCAAATCTAGTCGAGCCAGGTTCGTAGTTATCCGGAGCTCCATAATCATATGCATCGGGAGGTGGGGAAGCGTGAATAGTAGACAGAAGCTCCTCCTCAACAGAAGGAGGTATCGGCGGGGGCGTTGGAGGCGGAAGGGGCATCCGTGCAATGCGGGACACATAGTGGCGTGACAGTGTCAGCGCCGTGCTGGAGTTGCGTTCCTATGATAAAATGTGAGTCAACCGACGTGAAGTCAGACATGAAACTTACCAAAACGCTGGCATCAAACCACGATTCTACCTTACGCTGGCGCAAATGTGTCTCTATGATATAGTCGCTAAGGTCACCAATCCACACTTCTTCACAGTCCGAGAGGTCGGAAGATGCCAGACGTCGTTCCTCTTCAGTTTGATGGTACTCTCGTGCAGCTGGTGCAGGATCTACCCCCTCCAGAAGAGGCGACTCGGGGCGATTTGCTTTTGCACGAGGAGGATTTCGACGAGGCGCCTAGGGGACAAGAATAGGAAGGTGAGTAAAACCGAATCGAGCTGTATGTACATCTGATGTAACTTACGCGCTTTACAATCGGAGGTTGGTAATCGGGGTCGTCATCTGGAGCTACAGCCTTTCTCCTTTTTCGTGGTGTGGATTCGTTTTCGCCTTCCTTGTAGTAAGCGCCCACGGAAGATGCGCGAGGTTCTGAAGGTGGAGGCTGGTGCTGTCCATCCCATTCACGTTGAGAATAATAGTTACCTCCTGGGCCAAGAGGAAGGATCTCTCCCTGAACATAGTCACCCGAGTATGGATCCCAACCTCCGGCACCTTGATAAGAGGATGTCTGGTAAGAATATCCACGAGGAAGTGGTGGCTGCTCCCCGAGAGGAGTTATACTCCGACGAAGAGTTTGGGGATGAGGAGACATGACTGTGGCTCGGGAGAGAGGGGACACGTCTGCTAACGAAGGATCGACGCCACCAGTACGTGAGGAAGCGGATTTTCTCGCCGGGGGTGGTTCGTCGTTGAGAATTCGGCTGAGTGACATAGAGAAACAAAGTAGCTACAAGTAAGATGCAAAGAGAGGAAGAAATAATGAGGCAGTAGCCAGCTTAAGTTTTGTAAAGACAGGTCGCCTCGTGGGACCAGGAGATTTAAAGAGAAGGACGCTGTGGCAGTCAAGCTAATGTCCGAATATTTCTTCAGAAGCTAAATAAGGGTGGTGTTGCGCTCGACGTTGACGGTGATGAGCACAAACAAAGAATTTTCGGGTGAAAAAGTGCGAGCTCGTTGTGGATGATGAGGAAGACTGTTGCTGTGCAGATTACGAGGAGAGACAAGGGAGTGCTGTGACGGGAAGTTGTACTGATTTGACGTGGTATATTTCGTTTGCGGTTGGATTTAGCATTCTTGCCTTTTTTGTATTCCCTGTTCCTTCCTTGCTGTTCTTGGCGGACGAGCTTCTCTCTCCTACATATCTATCAGATCTTCACACCACCCGCAGTATGCTACACATTCCTTATCGAACATCTGACATGAGCTGGTTACCAACTGCGTGCACCGCGGTGGACTCGGACTCGGACTCGGATTACTTTTGTCATTCCGATATAGCAGCTCCTGAATACAAATACCACGCAACAAAACCATATACCATCCTATATGTCATCCGGGTATAACATCAGCTCTGGTCGCACTTTCAAGTCAAACTCTTCAGGTGTCAGATATCCGAGGGCAACAGTTGCCTCCTTCAATGTTGTTCCTTCCTTGTGCGCTTTCTTTGCGCACTTGGCCACGTCTGCAAAGTACAATCAACTTCGGCCGGAATTGCGCGGAGTTATATTTAGCACGCACTATCATAGCCAAGGTGGCTGTTCAAAATCGTTGCAAGCATCAAACTCTCGTTCAAGAGGTGGTTGATACGCTTCTCATTAGCCTCGATGCCAACTATGCAATGCTTAGTAAAAGACCGCGAGGCTGATCAGACAAAGATCAGCAGGTCGACAGCGAGCCATTCAGTTATGAAACCTCACCATCAGAAAGAAGGCGAATGCTCTGCAGCACGTTCATGATCATGACCGGTTTAAAGACGTTGAGCTAATAGTAGACGCATTGAATAACAAATGTGCCATATATGAAATACAAATACCTCAAACTGTCCGCTGGCTCCAGCAACGCTAACAGCAGTTTGGTTGCCCATAACTTGAGCGGCGACCATTGTCACAGCCTCGCACTGCGTGGGATTAACTTTGCCAGGCATGATACTACTGCCAGGCTCGTTTTCAGGAAGGCTTAGTTCACCGAAGCCACACCGAGGGCCAGAACCAAGGAATCTAATGTCATTCGCAATCTTCATCAGGGAACACGCGATGACATTCAGAGCACCATGAGTCTCAACCAGGGCATCGTGACTGGCTAGAGCTTCGAACTGCGGATCTTCGTCAGCAGTCAGACAAACAATCGCCATAAATCGCCTTACCTTGTTAGGCGCGGTCTGGAATTTCAAGCCTGTAATGGTAGAGATCTCGGCAGCAATTTTAACGTCGAAACCCTTCTTGGTGTTCAGACCCTGCACAGCACGTGAGCATCTCTACCCTTCGCTGGATGTTAACAGGCTCACTGTGCCAACCGCAGTGCCGCCCTGAGCAAGAAGACTCAAGCGAGGAATAACATTTTGGATACGAGCAATGCCATTATCGATTTGCTGGACATATCCGCTGAATTCTTGGCCAAGCGTCAGAGGTGTGGCATCCTGATAGCGATCAGACAACATCTACATCGAAGGCCGACCTATTCATACCTGCAAGTGCGTGCGTCCGATTTTGATAATCCCGCTGAAAAGCTCAGCCTTTTTGTTAAGTGCATCCCTGAGTTGCGTTAGTGCTGGAAGCAACGAATGGTTAATTTCAGTCACAGCAGCGACGTGCATAGCTGTCGGGAAGCTACATGGCCTATGAATTCATACGATCAAACATGATCCACTCAGTAGCTCACGTGTCATTACTACTCTGGCTCATGTTAACGTGGTCATTGGGATGGACTGGTTTCTTAGACCCAAGTTCACCGCCAAGGAGTTCTATCGCACGATTCGATATGACCTGTTGACCACGCTGAGTAACGATAATTAACCAAACATTTATTGTGATCACCTCGTTTACATTCATGTTACTCTGAGTTCCACTTCCAGTTTGGAAGACAACCAAGGGGAAGTGGTCCATGAGCTTCCCAGAAATGACCTGGAGTAAAGACCAGCTGAAATCAGATATCCGAAGCTTAGTGCACAATTTCTTACATCATCAACAGCCTTTTGGATGGCTTCGCCAACCTTTGGGTCCATACCATAGCTAACATTGACGATGGATGCGGCCTTTTTCAGCACGCCGAAAGCCTTGATCAGAGGAGGCGGTAGCCGTTGCGAGGGACCACCAATATCAAAGTTTTGTAACGACCTGTGGGAAATGTTCAGTAATGTACACATCTCAGAGCTAGTACATACCGTTGTGTCTGTGCGCCCCAATAGCGATCGGCAGGGACCTGGAGCTCACCAAATGTGTCGCGCTCAGTGCGGAATGCCTGATTTGACTGACGCGATCATTATTTCCTTCCACCTCAAACTCATTGACCTAACTTACCATGACGGATGATGAGAACAGTCGTTGACGAGGAATCACATGGGGGAGCTTGGAGTATGACGAAATGAGTGGTATGTCACGTGAGAATTGAAGCGCAGAAACTTACCCGGTGGGGAAGCCGAGTGCCCGTGAACATGACTAGCAGTCTCTAGCAGTGATGAAACTGAGCACAACGAGTGGAGGGCGGAAGGTTGTGTTACCCGCAAGATCATCAGCGCAAATTCTACGCGCGGCTTTTGCCGTCCGAAATCACCCGCAACAAACCCACCGGCGGCCACGCCCTGCCACACATGAGATGAGCCTCCTACCACTACGTAGGTGACTGGCCTTCAAACGCTTCAAGGCCCAAAGTCCACGGCTAGACATCGTGGCGCCGCTTTCATCGTTCCAGAGTGATTATTATCTCTTTGCTTTACCGCGTGCCTATAAATCGGATCATCGCCGTGTCTGACATAAATCTATAAGCCGTCTATTAAGCGGCTTTGTCCATACCTTCGACGTCTTTGAAAGGACGCATGCCACGACTTCCTTGTCTTGTCTTGCTCTTGTGAAGTCTGATTCTGAAATCATATGCATGGTTGTACTTCGACGTCGTCACCGGTGATCGGGTATACGGAAGTAGCAAATCCACGTGATAATGGCAAGGTAATTACGCCGCCAGGTCTCTCATCTAAAGTCTTCCATCCACCGCACCTATTCAACCTCCCTCTTCTTGCAGGAATCATTTGTACTTTTCAGAGATGGCTACAGTCGCATCACAGGTCATTCTCCACCCTTATGTTTCTCAATCCTTGAAATTTGGATCATTCAATGTCGGCCGGGATAAGGTATGATCTCATTTTTGGGAACAGAATACTTATCGGAGCGCTTTATCCGCTAGCTCTACCGCACAGTTCAGTATTTCTCTCGGTTCCTCGCATGGTTCCTCCTCTCCCGGGGCAATAAGGTCGGAGCTGCTCGATGGACAGCTCTTAAGACTCACCTAGGGATTGGCCGTAAACGTAAGGTTTATCTGTGGTCGCATGATCATACTTGACATGTGTGCAGTCATGCGACTTGGAAAACCTGTCGAGCACCTCCAAGCCGCATTGCGTACTGCTTCATCAGCAGGTGAAGTCAGCGAACAAGTGACTAGCATTGGTCGGCAGCTTGCCTACTTCGGGTATCTTACATATGACGCAGCTGTGTGGGTAAGTCACAAGTGATCCATGAATGGTTTACAACTTCTCAAATATTTTGACAGGCTAACACCGCAAAGTTCATTGCCCTCAAGCCCAGCACTGCTGAGAAAGTCACTAAGACGTCCAACAGATTCTGGCTGGCTGGCATCTTATTTAGCATTACACATGGACTACTGAAGGTGAGACTTGTCGCTCAGCTGGGATAATCACTCTCGATTTCAATTTTCTAGGCCGGACGACTCGCTCACGACGCAAAGAAACTGCGTAACTCCGGGACTTGGGGAGAAAAGGACCTTAGCGATGAAGCTCAAGAGAAGCCAAGCAACTTGCGCTTGAAAGGTACGTTGAAATAATCAGTACTGTATCATCACTGACTCTAACATCGCCATAGCTTGCGCACGGACACACGCTACCAATTCATTATCGACCTTTTCGACATTTGGATACCCGCTTCCAACTTGGGTCTTGTCAATGTCAACGACGGGATTGTTGGCTTTGCTGGGTCAGTTGGCAGTGGTTTCGTTTATTGTGCTCGGCTGATGGATTATCATGTTCAGTTTCATTTCCTCAATCATGGGTCTTCGTGCTCAATGGCTTGCCATCAACAATGGAAAGAAAAAACTGAAATTCTTTGTAATAAAACAGTACATACTACTGTCTATACTTCTGCTAGTATTTCCTGCCTCAGGGCCTCTACGTCCCAACCTTTGTTCAATCTATGGCCACGCCACACATTCGGGCGTCCTATGGACTGAATATAACTGTGGATAGTGTAGGATGACCGTGTGTACCTGAAAGCATGCCTTGCGCTTTCGAAGGCGAAAAATACTATCAAGACATCCCATCATCATTCATCATAGAGGTGCTTGAGGCGCGTTCTGCTGGTCTCTTAATCGAAGATATTCCCTTCGAACATCATCCATGGCTGTTCGCTTGTGCTAAAAGACACATTCACTCAATGTACTGGACATCGATGCGGCGGGGCTCACTATTGTAGCATACACTCTTGTAAAGCCTTGTACTTGTCCCTGCAGGCCCATGCAACAGACAGCGTGCGTCCAGTTGCGCAGTTGGCGAATTCTGAGTGACACGAAGCCGATATAAGTGTTCTTAATTATGCCAGAATACGTGACCGAACCTTTAACTATCGGATCACATTCCGCCAACGCGCGCGCTTTAGTAGTTTTAAGGAGTGTATCCTCCTCCCTTCTGGAAAGCGCGTTCATGAAAGTTGAGTGAACCCTTCGACGACCCTGATTTGATTTCAAACGGCGAGCGCTGCCAAAATTGCCTTTTTTGTCCAGTGTGGCCGCCGCCTTCCGATTCATTGCATGACATATTCTCGCTCGATATTTATTCTAGTACTAGCTGTCCTAGGCCTCCATTACGATGTCGGCTCATTCGCTCCTCATAAACTCACTGCTCCGCCCCCGTTCCAATTGTCGACTTTCATCTCAAGTTCGGCACCTGGCAACACCGTCGGCCTCAACGCCGAAGTCAAAGTCCAGCTTCCGGGAAACGCTGGTCTCTGGACCATCACTAGACGACTTCATCTCAGGAGAACCCATAGAACATGTAGTGCTCGGGAACACCAAAGGGTGCGCATAAATTGACATATTTTTCTGGGAATAATGTTTATGCATCCACTACAGACCTCGGCTGCCTAACTTTCTAAAGACAAAGATACCCTCGGGAGCATCTTTTAACAAGATCAAGAAGGACTTAAGGGGACTCGGTCTTCATACTGTATGTGAGGAGGCGCGATGTCCTAATATTGGTGATTGCTGGGGTGGAAAAGAAGGTGCAACTGCTGAGGAGGGCAAGAGGGCAGCAACGGCTACGATCATGGTGTGCTACATGATGTTGGAATTACTGTTCAACGACTAATTTCACTCCTTTTAGTTGATGGGAGACACCTGCACTCGTGGCTGTAGATTCTGCTCCGTCAAGACTTCCCGTGCCCCACCTCCATTGGATCCCACGAGCCTGAGAATACAGCAGAGGCCATTAGTCGATGGGGGCTGGGATACATAGTGCTCACTAGTGTTGACAGAGATGGTGTGTTGACTACGAACATAACCAGATCACAGGCTAATCATTTTCCCTGCAGACCTTGTAGATGGTGGTGCACATCACTTCGCAGAGACTATTATGAAGATTAAGCAAAAGTACGCTACACGCTGACTTCGTTTTGCGCCGCTCACGAACAGGATACTCGAAACAGGGCGCCTCAGATTCTTGTGGAAGCATTAACAGGAGATTTTGCGGGCAATTTGGAAAATGTCTCTCTCGTGGCTAAGTCCGGCCTAGACGTTTATGCACACAATATCGAGACTGTGGAGGAGTTGACTCCCTTCGTGCGCGACCGCCGTGCAACTTTCCGGCAGAGTCTGAAGGTGCTTGAATACGCGAAGAAGGAAGGTGTTCGCATCACCAAGACAAGTATCATGCTTGGTGTCGGCGAGACAGAAGAGCAGGTCATGGATGCTTTACGAGGTGAGCTGAAGCGCATTTGTGTCAAGGTTATAATTGCTGGATTATTATTCAGAACTTCGCAAAATTAATGTCGATGTTGTAACCTTTGGGCAATATATGAGGCCTACGAAGCGACATATGAAGGTTGACCGATATGTGGAACCTTCTGAGTTTGACCGGTGGAAACAAATAGCTGATGACATGGGTTTCGCGTATGTGGCCAGCGGTCCTCTCGTCCGCAGTAGCTACAAGGTCAGCCATTTAGTATCTTTCATCTCGGACGATTCTTCTTACACATGGTTGCCAGGCCGGTGAATACTTTATAGAGAATATGTTGAAAGGAAAGGCCACAGAGAACAAAGTGAAGAATCTCGTTACACAAGAAGCGTCTATAAGCCATACCCAGACGACATGATCGTGCCTACGATATTGTCGTACTATTTACTCTTCATAATCCACGAGTGGATCACGTTCACTGCTATTTCCTGAATGACGTAATCCGACCACCTTACCAGCATCTAAGGATTATCCGGCATGTTTGGACTGCGAGCTATAAGGATGACATCCAAGTGACAGGAACTACTTACTGGGTGAGCTCAGGATAGTCCTATCCCTGACTCCCTTAACTGGAATTCCTAGTCAACGTGCAGGTCGTGTAGTCAATGCGCAGATATATCCACGAGAAATCTACATTCACAATTCCACTAAGTCTAGAGACAAGTATTTAGTTGAGTAGGTATTTGAGGCGTACGCTCGTCAGGGGAAAGCATGGACTCACTCTACCACCCTCAACTAACATCATACGTGGGACTCAATCTCGGGGGGCTCCAAGTTCGGCGGCGAGGTCCAACAAACACAATTCTCGAACGTCGTACTGACATGTACGCAGTTGTGGTTGGCATGGGTATCCCAGATGCTGATGATAAGGCGTGGCACGATGATTATTGGCGCGGTATACTTGAACATTAGTACGAGATTCATCACCGCCGTCTGTCATGCCTGCATTAGAACATATCTCTCTGGAATCACAGGAGATTATACCCGGAAGGTGGGCCCACAATGTCACCGTGAAGATTTGACTTGCCAAATTCCTGGCGAAATTCAATGAATACTTTCAGAGAACACAGCAAACGAAGGGAAACTTACAGGACAAAGTATATGATGTGATATCGGACAATTATTACTACATAGGTGTTAGGCTTCATTTTAAGTTCCTTCTGCTCTTTCAGGTGCTTCCTGAGGACGGCAATGGCGAGAACAACCAAGAAAATATCAAAGCATATGACGGGGATGGAAGCATATATCGCAGTCATAGGCCCGATGTGGAAGACAGCCGCGCAGTACTTGATATTGGGAGTTATTAATGTTTCTTGCACTATGCGATCAGGCATCAGCTTGCAAATAATTCAATCAAAATATAAATTCACCTGAGATTGCTGAAGGTCGACTCCATAAAAATATATCCACTGCTATATAGAGCGCGACGATAGGTAGGAACAACCCAGTAGAACATAAAGTATGATTTTGGATTTGTTGTATAGGACGTAAAGACGCCAGATGAGAATGACTGAAAATGCAAAATCGGTAAGCACAAAGGTGCGAGAATGTATGGATATGACTGACCTTCCGTCAAGCAAAAATATACAGAAAACTCCATTCCATGAACAGAAACATGCCATAACCTGATTCAATTTCATGATAAGCAAAACTAGTCTCAGTTGAATACGATGCACTCACAACTAGACAAGAGGTCAGCAGCAGATCAGCCTAGCTGTAGGACGAACTTCTGACGTACGGCTGGATCTGGGTCAACCTAAAGCTCTCTAAAGAAAGAATCGATACACTCACTGTTTCAGGCATATAAAATAGACCACCCCCTAGGGCTAGTCAGTTAATGACGGCTCAGATGGTATCACGTCACATACAGGTGGCAGAATTCCTAGACGTCAGCATCAACATACAATGTACCATCTGAAGGATACAACCACCGCGACGTACATTGCAAGGACAATACCAAAATATCGAACCTGACATAGCAACAAAAATGGGAAACCACGAAGCACTTTGGCAGGGTGGGGCTCACAACAAGGTATAGATATGTCATCACTGACCACTGTCTTTGCTGCATAGCTGGTCAGTTCCGGATCTTCATAACGTTGGGGTTGAACTCTAACCCAAACAAACGTGACCTGCGATAGTATGATCATGAGTACTCGACGATGATGAAACGACCCTCTCGTTACCCTCTTTCTCGAACTGAAGCACTAGATAATATTACGCTCAGCTGCACTGCAAGGTTCGTGAAAGCTACCGACTGTATTCATAGGATATCAGGGCCATAATTGCAACTGGAAAACGACGAAGTTCAGTACGATGATTCGTTTTCAACAACGCTGACGAACCTGATGTGTTGTTATTCCAGTCAAGAGCATATAGAGATCCGTCTAGTCCCGACATGAAACTGCGCAAATCAAATGGCGAATTCAAAGAGTGAGGGATAGGCTACTGATCAGATCACCAACGTACAATACTTATAGGGCACATCGGAATCTCGTCAACTCGTCGTAAGGCTTGCGAACTTGCGGTGCCATAATGAAAACTGTACGACATCGTGCCGAGCTTGTGGCGCCGCACTTTTCCATTTGATGTCACAAATCACTCTCCTCGATAATTCGCTACTAACGGAAAGGTCCAACGGTGATCACACGACTGACAACTTGAAGGGTCACCCTGCGTCACCGGTGGCTGTTCCTACTTCTTCAAGTTGGGCTAGATTCTGCCTGTCCGACCCTCTTGTTACGTCACTAGCATGGACAGTGCTTATCTACCCCCACATGGCTGGAAAACATCAGATGAAGGCCCATCACTATGCACACAACGTTGACAAGTAAGTGCATGATCTAGGGTCGAATCTCGAAATAAGCGAAGGGTTTGCAGGACCTTAACATGTTGACGTCCGTACGGCAAAATGATCTCTCGCATAGACATAGTTACGACGTACCCTATCTTACATTTATGAGTAACTTGACTATTTGCGGAACAGACATGACGGCCTGGCGCTCAAGGTGGGAGTGGACAGCAGGGACGACGGGAGCAGGACTAAGGAGGGAGAGGGTAGAGTCATGAGCTATGAATGCATTTGGTCCTCTGGAACAAACTACGGTGCGCTGCACCATCAGGTAAGGTAGAATCGGCCCAGCCGATCCAGTTACTCCAAGCAAGTTAAGGAACCAGGACTGAAGTTTGAACACTTGAAGCATGCCTGCACACCTCGCTCTAGCTCGACCCTGAGTTGAGCCTAAATTTTTTAGATCGCATGCCAAAAGCATACATGCGAGATCTTGTGCTGTGGTGGCGAAGTTCAACATACACAATCCTCGAACATCGTCGTGCTGAAATGTACGCAGCTTTCATTGACATGCGAATCCAAATTGCCGATGATCAGACGAGGCGTGAAAAAGAGCTCTCAGCGAGACTCCTAACGTTGGTATTAGCTAAGCCATGTAGAATCATGGGAGTACTCTATCATACCGGAATGTTAGCCCATAATGCCACGAAGAAGATTTGGATTGTCAAATTCCTAGCGGAATTCGATGAGTACTTTCAGAGAGCACACCGGAGGAAGAGGAACTCACAGGACGAAGCATATGATATGATATCGAACGACCATTAGTATTTGGCTTCATTTTAATTTCCTTTCGTTCTTTCAGGACTGCAGCTGCGAGAATAGCCAGAAAAGTATCTTAGCATATGATTGCGACTCTACAGATAACAAATATGGATACACTCACTGATTCAGCTATATACATCAGACTCCCCCCTATAACGCTAGTCAGTTAATAATGGGCCCATTAGCATATGCTTAGATACAGCAGTCATAAAGCTAAAGCCTCAAGGCCTCATGCCTCACTGCCTCAATTCAGTGTTGACATGAATTGTACAGTGTAGGGAAGGACGGAGGATGCCGTCGGAGTTTGATTGAAACTTTGTCTATCTCAAACTCTAAACATCCATCATCCACGCAAAAAGTTCGCCCATCGCTGTCGGCAGCTCCAATAAACATGGTAAGCAAGCCCTGTAGTCTCAAGCCATTCGTGCAACTCACTTTCTCTAGGACTCATCAAAAGCACCCGTCAAACTCGCTAAGGTTATCAAGGTTAATATGCATGCTAACCCCTCGCAAACCTACTCATTCTAACTTCTGGCATCAGGTTCTCGGACGCACCGGCTCTCGTGGTGGAGTCACGCAAGTCCGCGTTGAGTTCATGGATGACACTACGCGAACAATTATTCGCAATGTCAAAGGTCCTGTGCGGGAGGAGGATATCCTTGCACTTCTGGAGAGCGAGCGTGAAGCTCGGTAGGTTTTAATTTTCATGCGTCGTGCACTGAACTGAGTGTGTTTTTATGACAGCCGCTTGCGCTAAATCCCCATGTTATTCTTGCGATATGGTCTTAGTTCTCTATCATTGCACATGTACACGAATCCCTCTGCATGAGTTATACCGAACCCTCCTCCAATCCTTGTAAGGTCCCCCATCCGATTACACCGCATTTCAAGTTATAGTGACAAGGTAATTGGATATATGCGCGCAAGCTCTTTTTCGCCTAGTGCAGATTGATATAGAATGCGCTATCAAAAGATTGTAATTAAGTAGGACCGCAACATCCGACTGTCCGATTTTTCGGTAGTATTTGAATATCGATCGATCCACTGCCGTTTTGTCTTGCCTTCATCCCTCCCCTCCCTTTCTGCAATAATATCACTCGCGATGACTCGAAGGATGGCCTATGTGACTCTACTCACAAAAACCAGTTATTTACCTGGCATTCTGGTGCTCGACTGTACCCTTAGATCTGTGGATTCTGCGTTCCCTCTTGTTGTGATGGTCACTCCTACGCTCCCCCAGGATGCTCGGAGTGTTCTGGAGCGAAGAGGCATTTCCATGAGGCCTATCGAATCGCTCCGCCCTCCAGAGGGAAAGCATTCACTTTCAACTCATGATGCAAGATTCACTGATACATGGACGAAGCTGAGGTGTGTGCAAATCAGCTACGGAGCTGATGGACCACTCATTGCGAGATAAAGGGCATTTGAACTGAATGAATATGAGGTATTTAGTTCAGATTTTGCAGTGCTCATGACTTACATGGTTTTGAGCATAGCGTGTTGTTCTTATGGATGCCGATATGATCGTGATGCGCAATATGGACGAGTTATTTGATGTCGATCTCCCAAACGACTGGATAGCTGCTGCCCATGTGTGTGCTTGTAACCCACGCAAGCTACCCCACTATCCTGCTGATTGGTATGCCGTTTGACTATTTGCCATTATAATACCTCATATTAAATCTTCCAGGGTTCCCGAGAACTGCGCATATACTCCGTTGATCCACCCCGCTGGCTTGACTACTACAGTGGCCATTACAGAAGCAAGCCCACGTCCGCACACTCAGCTGAATTCCGGCATCGTGGTTCTCAACCCTTCTTTGGCTCTTGCAGAAACCGTCTGCAACCACCTTTACACTTCGCCCCTAGTGTCGACTTGGTCATTCCCAGACCAAGATCTCCTGTCAGATTTATTTAGAGGAATGTGGAAACCTCTTCCATGGTGTTATAATGCGCTCAAGACATTGATGTTAATTCACAAGCCGCTGTGGAGAGACGAGGAGATCAGATGCCTTCACTACATTTTGGCTGACAAACCCTGGCAGGCCAGGGTATCTGAAGATGATACAGGAGAGTATGCAAAGAGTCACAGGTGGTGGTGGCAGAGACTAGAGCAGCTCGGCCAAGAGATGAAAGGAGAACCTGAGGACTGGAAGCTGGTGTTGGCGAATGTTGCACAGTGATAATACAGACGGGTACTGACAATACTTTAATTGTAGAATAGATGGGGATCCAAATGTTCAAGATCGCCATGCGACATGCACTTCGTCGGTCCGGAATCTTGAATACAAACAATTATTTTCTGCAAGACTAATCCATAGTATTGAGGTACTGACCTTTGCGTACAGGTGCTCTTTGTAAGAGGCGTCTGAAATCCCATGCGGTAGCTCAGTAGACCAGCCTGAGCAATCATGATGCCGTTATCAATGCAAAAACTATGAGTTCGCGAGTAAGAAATCACGTCGTTAGTGCTTCAAAAAACTAACCGCTCATCAGTAGCAAACACCAATCCACCTCGCTCTTGTGCCATGATGCCCATCATTTCTTGCAGTCGTTCATTACCTTCAGGTAGATCAATAAGGTTGGCCATGACGGGTGGGAACAGATATCTTACAGCCAACTCCTCCGACGATGAGCACCTCCCTGCTCCCAATATGAGCCATCGCTCGTTCCGTGATTTCAACAAGCATGGAAAACACCGTTTCTTGAAGGGAGAAACAGAGATCCGCAGGCGTGATAATGTCTTCTGACTCTTCGCAAGGTGAGCCCTGAGCCCGGTACCGACGATCAGATGTGTAAGCTTCGATGGAAGTCAGTATGCCAGACAAGCTAACATCCATCCCCTTGGTTGTGTAAGGCAACGGGACAAGTCGTTTCCCCCTGAGTGCACGCCAGGTCAACAAAAATACCACGAACAGAAATAAGACAAAATACTTCTTCGCCTCTTGTTCGATGTTATATCCTGGACTTGGGTCGTTGCTCAGGTTGATTACCCTGGCAAACCTGTCGAGGCAGTTTCCAACAGCTATATCGAGTGTTTCTCCAAAGATCCGGTAGCATTGCCGTGAATACGCGATGACCTGTGTGTTGCCACCAGATACGTATAATACCACTGGGTTCTGAGCTCCAGTGACTTGCCGTCCCATTTCGATATCTGTTTCGACAATATCAATGGAAGTTGCAAACCGTGATTGGAGATACCTACGTCCGACACAATGATTGACACCGACAAGGGGCTTCTCGTACAACAATGAGAGGGTGCGAGCAACTAGAGCAACAGACTGCAAAGGTGCACCCATACCGGGACCTGGAGGAACATTTAAACACGAGACTCCACGAAGGATCCAGCTAACCTTTGGTATAACATATACAGTCGAGGTCGTGCATCGTAATGTTTGCTTTTGCAACTGCATCTTTAATCACCGTTAATGCCCACTCTCGATGGTGCTGAGCAGTATCTCGGGGAAGAAATCCCTCCCCAGGTGGTGTAATGTAGGTGTGCCTAACGTTTGAGAGCACTTCGGTCGATCCATCGACAGCATGTTTGATGACTCCTGCGCCGAGTTTGTTAGCTGAACCCTCTAGTCCTAGTGCGATGTATGCCCTGCCTGACGAAGCCGGTGAGTGTTGTTCGCTACGAAACACCTTAATCTCAACTTGGATTCTTGAGCGGAGACTCGCGACGACGGCCTGGCATTGTTCGAGATCTCTGTCTAGTTCTCGTGCTTCAACGTTTGACAAAGGCACGGTTACAGTAAAATGAAATCGAAGCTATGATACAATGTTATTAGGCCTTGTGGACTAGAGTATGTAGTAGTAGTAGTAGTCGTCGCTCAGTTGATCGTGATGCGAATTATGTAAGGTATCTAGGTCACCCTAAGAGTCGCTATCAGTCCACAGAGAACTCGTCAACATTAATGGTCTCTTCAATACGGGGGCGTTTTTGTGACGAGCGCATAACAGCTGATTCCTGTTTAATCGAACGCTGAGATGACAAGGAGTTCGTGTTGTTCTGTTCCATTTTTTGCGCCTTCAGTTTCTTGTAGAGGTCTTCCTTGAAATCAAGACATGTCAACTTGACGCAGGGAACGCGAAGTTCACCACGCTCATAAGCAGCATTTATGCCCTCGACAGAACGTGAGTCTTTTGCTTTTCGCTGTGTAGTTTCGCAATACTTGGATCGAACCTATGGACCAAAATCAAGGGATGACTCGGATATCTTTGAGGCTAAGCATACTTACTTTCTCTGGGAGCGTCAGCCATTCTTCAACGGTCAAGGGTTCAACACGATGGACCCGATACCGGCCCATAAGTCTGTAGTTGGTTTTTGCAACCCCAACGAAGAGTTCATGTACTTCTGGCTGAAGAAATTTGTGAATCTCTTCCCCTAAGCCAACGAACATATAACCAGCCATGCCAGGACTTGTTGGACACCAAGGATTCTCCCATAAGTTCGGGCAAAGGTAGCTTGTTATACCAAATTTTAGTGCTAGAGGCTTTGGCGCTGCAATGCTGAAGAGTTCATAAGCTGATACTATCAAATACATCAGTCGAGAGCCTACTTTGAAATGAGAGATTGTGACCCTCCCCCAATGTGTATTGAGATAAATGGTCGGGTGAAACATACAGTCCCACTATCTGGAAGATCGGGAATTATTTGCGGGACATTTTCAATAGCTCTCTTTCGAGGAGGCGGTAACCGAGAGGGTGGATGTACTACAACAATATCTGCTGATGTATCTCTCTCTTCCTTCAAGTTTCGCTCGCGAGATGGCCCAGCCGTCAAGGGGCCCCGTACGACTGGTAAATTCATGTCATTGGGGGTGGTACGGGGAGTTGGGAGAGGATTCGTGTTCACGCCAATCTGGATGGAGTGTCAGTTGGTGTGGCATGATATATATTAGCCAAAAATGATCCTACATCCACGCGTACAATCTGTGCAGCTGCCTGAAGCTCATGCGCCAAGGTATTCTTTTCTTGGTCTAACTGATGAAGCCGTTGTTCCAGTGTATTAGCCTGAAAACACGTGTTAGGCCGCATCGAGTCGATGAGTTAGTTTCGAAATCACCCTCTGCTGCTGCGTAGTAACATCCATCTTGGTCACTTCTAATAATTCACGTAACACATCGTGATCTTTCGTTGCGAGCCGTAGTGCTGCATTCTGACAACGCGTCAGTACATAGAATATTCTAGCAATTGCATCAATGTGCACTCGACGTACCGCGTTCTGCAGTTGCATCATGTCAAGCTCGAGTTTCGCATTTCTGATACGAAGCTGTGAGTAATTAGGCGAGGGGAACGTCAAGGAGATCGCGTCTACGTACCTCATCATTTTCATTTTGCTTCAATGCATTCAGCCGGTCGCGTTCGGTCAGTGCCTCTTGTAAATTTGTGAGTCTCCCGTGCAGGGCAGTAGCTTCCTTTTTTGCCCCAACCAATTGCCCCAGAGTTTCGATGAGGTACTCGTTACCATCGTGTGCCATCCCAGGTTGTCGATCGGTTATCGGGAGGAAAAACGACACGGGGATTTACATCAGCAAATGTGACTTGATTCGAAAGCGCTCACACGACGCTCATAAAATGCTCGTGTGCATATACTTTTTAGTTAGCTCAGGTCAGCGTCCGTAACGTCCGTTTTTGGTTAAGTTAGACCCTGACTCAACTTAAGAGATGTCCGACGCGAGATCTTGTATTATCGGCTCGATTATCATAAGAATCTGTACAATCTGTTACTAGTACTAGATAATCTACGCTATCTACATCGAATCACTCATCTCTGAGTCTGATGCCAACGAGCTCTGGCCCCGTGCTTGCGAAGGTCCAATTTCTAATATATACCGGAAATGCTGCTCCAAGTCAGTTTTCTCTGCACCAGTAAGTCCATCGAATGCGTGAACAATTTCTTTGAACTTGTCATGGTGAGCTTTTCCACCAAATGGGTCTATGTCCAACTGCGCCATTCCTTGTTCATACAACGCGCAGTACATAGCTGCGCCAGCTACGCCTACGATGTTCTTGATAGTCTTGAGTGAGGACATGTCAAGAAATGATGCGTTGCTCCAATACCATATGAACCTGATCACATTGGCCATAACGAATCTGCTCTTGAATCTTGCGCGTACGATTATATTATCATTCTGAGAAAGACATGTGAGTAAATACAAACTTTGAGTAATACTTGAGAATTGCTTGACGTACCTCGTCGAAATAAAAGTCATGCATGAACAGAAGAGGGTCAGTGCCCTGAATAATGAGGCTGACCCTGGCAATGTGATACTGGTCTGCTGGTAAGGTGTGTCCTTGTGGGGGCAAAAGTTGGAACGCATCGCAAGTGCCATCCCATGCAAAATCGATCATTTTTCCACGTTTAGTGGAAAAGGCATTTGCAACCTGTTTACGGTGCGCATTCGTGATGAAAGTCTGGAATACAGCTGCAAAAATTAACAAAAAAAGTGTATAATCTAGACAATACATGAACTCACCATCTGGCCCGTAAAACTGTGGGACTGAGTCAGTAATGGCCTTATCGACGATGTCCTTCTTTTTCTTTCTAGAGTACACCATTGCATTCCTTGAGAATACAACTCGCATTATCAACACTTTGGCGTCCTTTATCGATTGCTGGATGACTTCTTTCATTAGTATAATGACATTTTTAGGTCGTTGGTCATTTGGCGTCTCGTGCGGTTTGGTGACAGCGGTGTGCATCTGCGTGTCGGCAGTGTTGGTGGGGATCCACGATGCCTGGTATGGCGTTGCAGGCATATTGGCACGTCGATCTCTGCGTGCCTGGGTTGTCCTTGCAGGCCCTGCTGTCTGCGCACATATATTTTAAACAAAATTTCATGAATGAAAGAAGAAGAAAACACTGACATGTACCACTTCTGAGGCGGGAATTTCCCCTTGTTGAATCATTGTCAAATTTGAAGCCAGGGGTGACAGCCCCCCACTTCGATCTGTGATACTGGTACCTCCATCTGGTGCCTCTTCAATCCACTGAGGCACAGGTACTGTTTGTCCAGGGTGATCAGGAGGGAAATCGGGAAATGATGGACCTGAGTCGAATGAGACATCCTTGAAGTAGTCGTAGAAGTCGTAACCTTCTTCACCCAATATGTTCTGACCATCTCAACAAGACGAACCCTGTGCGTGACTGAATGACAACGGGCCCGCTCCATATGACACTGAACCCTCTCCATCTCCATACAAAGTGCCCTCTCCATCTCCATACAAAGTGCCTTCTCCATCTCCATATGAAGCACCCTCTCCATCTCAATAAGACAAACCCTGTGTGTGAATGAACAATGATGGACCCGCTCTGTATGACATTGAACCCTCTCCATCTCCATAAGGCAACAAGCCTTGGGTGTGGTCATATGGCAACTGCCCTTGTGTGGGCGCTTGGCCCTGCGTGTGACCAAATGATGGGCCTTCAGCGTTCCCATAAAGCTGTTGCTGTGTGTCTGTGTGACTGATTAGTGAATTGATAGACGCAACCCTCGAACCACTCACCTTGCCGCCCTCCTACAGATTGTCCGTATGGATCAAAGTTGAATGGCGCCATTCGGGGTTGTTCTGCATCAAGATTTAGTTGATCAGCAGCTGGCAAACCAGATGGATTCAGGCCTGATCCCCTAGCTGGCTTGGGGATGGCAGCTTTGCCCTTGCGCTTTGAGCCACATGCACCTGACATCGAGATGGTGATCAAGAAGATAAGTAAACAAAATTGCACGTCTGAAAAGGATGTGCACTGCTTGATTCAATTTCATACATGAAATAATGAGACACAGACTCGCTATACAACTTACAGGCTGGGAAAAATGAAACACATTGTGATTAATATAAGGAGATCTACGGGAAAATCGAAAGAGGGGTCACAGCGGATTGAGAAGCAGATTGAATGGTGATGGTAAAAGGCAGGGTTTCCAAAAAATTGAATACATGGGGAAAGGGCAGAGGGCGAAGAAGCATATTGAATGGACAGGGGGAAAATGCATGGCATTTCAAGAACTGATGTATGAACGGTGAGATCCAAGCAACGCGCGGTTATCTACTATGATATAGGTCAGTGTGAGCAAAATAACCTGAAAGTGAAAATTATATACCATGATTTGAAGTAATAGCTAAAATTAGGAAGTTCTGGTGGCTTCTTTATCATCATTGTCGTCATTGTCATCATTGGATTCATCATCATCCATGATATTGTCTATATCAGAAGATGGACAAGAATTACCGATGAATTGAGGTGAGTGAGAAGATTTTCCCATAGAACCCAATATATCCTCCTTAACGTTTAAGCCTAAGTGCCTAGAGAGTAACTCAGCTTGGGCAGCAATGGTGCGAAGAATTTCGCAATCTTCATCATAGACAGCTTGAAGGTAGTTCGTGTTGTCATTGATTTGTTCTTGTGAGCGGTCAGAAAAAGTGTTTCTGATCCATTTCAACTCTTCGTCACTCAAGAGGAGGCAGTCTTTGTTCTCGCAATGAACTCTATCCAGGAATGCTGTAAACCGCTCTGACTCCTCAAGCTCCCATGCCATCGTCACAAGATGTTGACATGCAGCTTTGCGGCCAGCAAGCTTTGATTTGAATAACACATGCAAAGTTTCCAAGCTCAAATGTGAGAGGCCCTTGCAAATTGTGTCCTCTTGCTTTTGACCTATGAATGAACCTCTTGAGGAGTATTTTAGAATGAGAAACATACCTCACGAATTTCTTTGGCCATAAACTCTGGCTTACATCCTCACCCTGAAACATGAGCTGCAAATCAGAGTTCCAGTGGAGCCTGATGGAGAGGGTATGGAATGTAATTCTTCAACATTTGCTCATGCAGGTACTGTCCACAACGGGAAGGGGATGCGACTTTAAGAGGATTTCCATGCCAGGAAGGAGATTTGAGGCTAGGCTTTCCATGATGTGAAGGAGATTTGAGATGCCTGTATGATATGTTCTGCTTTGCATTCGGAGACTTAGGTACCTTATATAATACACTTTTCCTTGTATCAGGAGGTTTAGGCACCTCATCCACTGGGGAGAGGGAAACATGGGGAGAACCTGCATCAGAAGAGCCTATTTCAGAGGTCATTAAATGAGGAGAGTGATACTGTTTTGTCTTGAAAAGATCAAAGGAAGTTGGTTCAACACAAGTCACAGAGCTCGAGTTAGTGGGAGCAGGACTGCTTGATCGAGGAGGAGAGGGGATGGGGGATGAAGGCACAAATTCCATTGTCGTCTCAGCGACACAACAGTCGATACAGCAGGTGATACAAGCGATACACCGGAGATGCGTAGTCTGCAGACTTTGAAAGACTTCGCAGTTTCCTCAGCCAGTCAATCCAATTGCAACACCTGAGGGCAAAATCAGCAATGTGAGTATATTCTGTCAGGCTCAATGTATGATATCGATGTGCACTTACATTAGGTTATGCCCTAACTGCAACTTGGGAGACTTTCCATCTACCGAGGCACTGATTCGGCATCTCAATTCTGAGTCTACTTGTTGGCCATCTGAAGCACAACCACAAGCAGTACCCGTCCCTCCTGTATTCCGTCGATGTGGAAGTGACCAAATACCTGCAACTGGTACTTGCCATCTGCATGCTGGATATGTCTTCGGCATCGGTAGAAATATGCTTGATAGGCTGGATGATGATCCATATGCATATCGGCGGAAAATAAACCACTATTACCCTTTCCATGATGAAGGTGAATGGGAGTTGGGAAAGTTCTTGGTTGAAAACCTCACCCAGACTCAAATGACTAAATTTTTGAAGCTGAAATGGGTGAGTGATGGTACAAGCTAGGTCTACAACACTCACCATTCCTCGACAGTTTAACACTCATGCAAGGCCGTCTTTCAATATGAAGGACCAGCTATTAGACTGGATGGACTCACTCCCATGTTTCACGGAGTGGAAAGTCTCCAAAATGGAATTTTCAGGTTACAAGACAGTCCATCCCATTGAACTTATTTGGTGCGATGCACTAGAGGTTGTCAAACAACTCTTTAGTGATCCCATCTTCACAAATCATATGACATATACTCCGCACATTGTCAATGTTGGAAATAAGCGTGAATACGGAGATTACATGAGCGCTGATATGGCATGGAGAATCCAGGTTTGCTTACTCTGCTAATATATCCCTAACTGTCACAGATTGACATCGCAATTTTCTAGGACCATCTCCCTGTGGGTGTGACTCAAGTGCCAATCATACTGGGATCTGATAAAACTCATGTAACGCGAATCACCGGAGGACTTGAAATGCACCCAGTCTTCATAACTATCAGCAACATTGATTCGGAAGTTCGCTCCAAGGCAACCTTACGAGCTTGGCGATGTATTGCCTACATGCCAATCACAAAGTTCCGCATGCACTCAGACTATCAAAGCATTCTCCAGGCATGGCTATGGCATAAATGCATGGACCTTGTGCTTGCTAACCTCAAGGCCGCGGCATTGGATGGGTGTTTCATGCCTGACTCCTCCCGATACATTCATTATGTGTTTACACCACTCATAGCTCATATATGTGACCTGCCAGAGGCTTCTATGATCGCTACAGTCACAAAAAATGCATCCCCTGTGACTATGGCAGTGCAAGAGGATTTTGGCAATGGGACACTCCACCCCCCTCGTACTGGGGAACATACATTGCGACAGCTTATCGAAATATTCCGCAAGGTTGATCCTTGGGATCTTGATAAGTTCCAGAAACCAGCCAAGGCTGTCAACCTGTCTGGTGTTCACATGCCATACTGGCACAATTGGATCTACACATGTCCGTCCATCTTCCTCACTGGTGAAATTCTGCATACCTGCTTTAAATTTTTCGCTGACCATCCACTCAAATGGGTCAAAGAGGCTGTAGGAGCTTATGAGTTTGATAACTGCTTCATTGTCCAGCACAAACGAGTTGGTACATGCCACTTCACAAAAGGTATCACGCAGGTCAAGCAAATGACGGGCCGTGAGTACAGAGACATACAATGCACTATTGTTGCCTCGATTGCAGGTGCACTTCACCCCAATTCATTCGCACAATCCATGCCATTGTAGAATTCATTTACCTCGCACAGAATCCAGTTCATTCATCTGAAATGCTTCAGTCAATGGAGCAGGCTCTTTCCGACTTCCACTTTTTCAAGGGCACTATTATCGAGGCCAAAGCAAGGAAGGGGAAGGGGGGCGTCAAAGACAAATTTTTCATCCCCAAACTCAAACTACTACAAAGCTTCAAGGGTACGGTCCAGTGATTAGGCACTTTGATGCAGTTTTCAGCTGATACGACGGAGCGCTTGCTCATCACCCACTGCAAGGATCTTTTCCAACGGACGGCCCAGCAGGGCAAAGATTTTACAGAGCAGTGCGTGCAGATTCTTAACTGCCAAGAAGCAATGGAGATATTCAACCTGTATGCACTGTTGACTTCCCGTGGGGCACCATTGGTCAATGCCATGCACACCAAAGAGGATGAGGTTGCAACTACTAACCCCATGCTCTCGTGGATTTCCCGAGTTCTCCCTGATGAAGTCAAGTCGGTTCATGGTCCCCGACCAGTCCGCAATTATTTCCTCAAAGGCATCCTCTCTGGAGACGCGCAGACTGCTTTCCAAGTGAATGTCACTCCAGACTACAGGTCACTGTCACCGGCTGAAATATGCTTAAAATATATACTCCCCGACTTCAATCGTGCCCTCGCCAACTTCATTGCTTGATCATTGCTGTCTAGTGGCGAACATACCCGCTGGGACCCCAAATATGGGCGTTATCAGGCATGGAACAAGTTTCAGCTCCAACTTCACTCAGCCTTCCAGCAATGTGTCGTCATGCCAAGCAGGGTGGTTCAAGTATACCCGCCAAGCAACGATTTCCCCCTTGGCAACTGTGACACTGTTCTCATTGACACCATGGGCATTAATGGCAAAATGAGTATGTAAATTCTATTCCCCTGTATTCTAGCCCTACTGATATCATATACAGCGAGTTACATCGCACAAGTTTGACTGATTTTTCAGCTGATTGTTCGATGAGGTTCCAACCTGGAATTGCCATCATATCTCTCCAACCCACTTCTCTATGTCCAATTCTTCTGCTTCATCTCCAGCCCTGACGATTGTCCTGAACTCACTATGTGGACTATGGAGCATGCATACACGCAGGATCAAGATGGTAACAGGTATAGGGAGGGGGCTGTCATACAAGTGACAGATGTAACGCATGCGGTTGAATTGATACCAGTTTATGGTGAGGCAGTGGCTGATGGCGTGTCCTCTGCAACTTGCTTAGAACACTACGAACGTTTCTTTTTGAATAGCTTCACAGACAAGGAGAGTTATCACACATTTAGTACCGATTTTGGATAGATAGTAGCTTGATCAGCATGTAGCAATTGTATTCGCATCTACCGTATTGCATATCTGAGCATATCGCATCTTATCATCCGAGATAACTGGGCTTGAGTTTTATCAACCAGATATGGTGAGTAATATTTGCATTCAACATCTCCACCAATCGCATGAGTTCGCTAGTGAAGTCGTAAGCGTTCGTAAGTGTCCGTAACACGCTTAAGCTAAGCGTTCATTTCAGTGGTTTTGCTGATGTAGCAGGTCGTCGTGAATAAAGGATCAGGCCTTGGGGGCGCACGTGTACATGATTCTTCAGCTCCGCGAAGGAATAACCATCTTCCTTCCGTGGGTCTAGAACGCTAGGGGAGAATATAAACTCCTCACATCAAACGGCTTCATGTTTTCAACACGCAAATCAACAAAAAACATAACGCATGCATGTGATAAATGTAATCTAGTCTAGAAACAATGGGTAGACCTCAAAGACCCGATTGTACTATTAGAGCATGAACGTGAGAGGATTTTCGAGGTAACCTTTAAACGCAGTCATCCAACGAGCACCCACAGCACCATCCACCGTCCGGTGGTCCGAGCTCAGTGTCACTTTCATCATATTCACGGTCTTGAAACCACGTTCCTCCTCAGGAGCTGGGACGATTGTTGGCTGCGTAGTGCCGACAGCAAGGATGCACGATTGGGGAGGGTTGATGATGGCAGTGAAGTGTTCGATATCGTACATGCCAAGGTTAGACACCGTGAATGTGCCACCCTATCGAAACAATGAAATTCATTCAGCCAGAATGAATGTGTATCGCTTACCTGATATTCTTGAGGAGCGAGCTTGCCATCCCGAGCCTTTTTGGCGAGAGATTTCGCTTCACTAGAAATAGTTGCCAATCCTTTTGAACCGACATCCTTCACAATAGGTGTAATGAGGCCAGTGGGAGTTGCAACAGCAACCGAGATATCAGCCTTCTTGTATCTAAAGGCAAGATGGGTTAGACTCGATACATTTGTGTCCGCGGAAGTACATACTGTCGGATGACCTCTCCAAGCCATGCCGAGTTGGCCTCGGGCACGTCATTCAATGCGCATGCAACAGCCTTGAGAATGAAGTCGTTGACGCTGAGTTTGGCAGCTTTGTCCTTTTCGCCAAGCGTCTTGTTAAAGACCTCTCGGAGCTTCATCGTCTTGTCCATGTTAATTTGGACGGTAAGGTAGTAATGGGGCAGCTCCTGCTTGGACTGTGTGAGACGCGAGCCAATGACGCGACGCATACTTGTAACTGGGATGTCTGTATATTCCGGAAGGGAAGCAGCAGGTGCCGAGGAAGTGGCAGCGACTGCTGAGGCTGCTGCCGCGGGTGGTTGGTACTTCTCAATGTCCTCTCGTATGATGCGTCCCTCAGGACCAGTACCCTTAACTTGGGTCAACGGGATGCCGCGCTCCAAAGCGATCTTCTTCGCAATGGGAGATGCGAATATTCGTTCGCCCTTGGCAAGCTCAGGCTTGGCCTGGGATGGCGCAGGCTTGGGGGCCTCGGTTTTGGGAGGCTCAGGTGTACTTTCCTCCTTAGGTGGGGAAGGGGATGCGGCCGAAGGCTCGGAAGCCATTTGAGCCGCACCTGACAGGTCATCGCCTTCTTCAGCCATGATGGCAATGGGCGAGCCGACGACGATATTTTTCGAACCATCAGGAGCCTAAGTGTGAGCAAGACAATATGAGAGAATGAAAGCTTGAAGCTTGAAATTGACATACAATAATCTTGGCAAGAATACCGTCGTCCTGGGCCTCCACATCAATGGTAGCCTTGTCCGTTTCCTGTGCACAGACATGAGGAACGGAGTGGAAGCAAGAATATGAACGCACAATCTCGAGCAGTACGTCACCAGCGGTGAATGTTTCACCCTCCGCCTTTTTCCAAGAGGCGATACCACCCTCGGTCATGGTGGGACTCATGGCAGGCATGGAGAACTTGGTGAGGGCATGTCTCCGTGCAGACATGTGCATCTCTATGAATAATGTTAGTTGTGAGCAACATGAAGAAGTAGGAATCATACGCCGTGAAAGGACGCGAGCGATAGAAGAGGAGGCCATTGTTGCTGAAGGAGCAAATGCGCGATTCCTCGAGAGCGGAAGTATAACAGTCAGAGTGGGCTGAGATTTTTGAAGTATGTAGTCACAGCCAAATAGCGACAAATCCGAACGACGCGAGTAACATAATACTTGGTCTCCCGACTTTTCCCTTGTACATCGTTCCACGATATTATTTGGCAGCTGCTGCTCGCTTTCGGCTCCCTTGATTTCCCATGGCATCCGATACCTTACTCCCAGGTCAATTAGTATCCCTTCCTCGTGGTCCAGCACCGCAACTTGGAGGAGGTTTATACTTAAAAGATGGACAAGTTAGAGCGAGCCTAGTTGGTGTCGCACAGTACGAAGGATCTGTTGGTTAATTCTCTTGACGATTAAATCATACTCGATTTTCAATGTGTGCAGACCCTGGCAATATCTCGCGTACGATCACATCCACCGGCAGCAAATTCAGTCGTACTAGGGACCGTCACTCGTCTGTCACCTTTGCAGGCGATGGTATCCATTTCAGTTGTTGATGGTGTTCCTCTACCGGCCGGTGAAGAATTTAATGGTGTTATACGCACTCAAGATGTCAGAGCTACCGAGAAAGACAAGGTGAAGATCGGCGACTGTTTTCGTGGTGGAGATGTTGTCAAGGGTGTAGTGGTAAGCCAACCCAGTAAACGCGGTAAATGATTTACCCAATCATCCCAGATTTCTCTTGGTGATGCTCGCAGTTACTACATCACCACTGCGCGCAACGACCTCGGTGTTATATTTGCCACCAGTGAAGCTGGTAAGAGTTAAGCTTGCTTCCGTGATATACGAATTCTAACCGATTATCTAGGTGCATCGATGGATCCTGTTTCATGGCAAGAGATGAGGTGTCCTAAGACAGGACGAATTGAAAAGCGCAAGTGCGCGAAACCTGAAATTTGAAACTTTGTAATTACATGAACGATAGGGAGTTGGATGATCATTGAATTATGTAATTATGTAATCATAAGTGTGGCATAGTTGTGGACGTCAACCAAATGTTAGAAGGCCCAAGTCAAGAACCAAATTGCAAGCATTTCTCCTGTTTCCACCAATTTCCTCTTCTCCTTTGATATTTTCTGGTTGTGTTTCTAGGTTGTACTTTATTTCTTTACAGGGTCGATGACGGCTGTTCTGTCTCCTACAGATGCCCTACGCAGAGACCCAATAATGACCTCCTTAGAAGACAAGTACTCATACCCTTCTTGCCACACTCAATCTGGTTTCTAACCATGTTCTCCAAACAGTTACTCCTCCACAGACTGGAAAGTGAAGTACAATGAAGTCGCAGATATGCTGGCGGAAACTCGTGCCGAACTTGATGAATTTCATACTTCTAGTAAAGAGCTTGAGGAGGAGTTAATCAAGGAAATAGACCGTACAGAGAAGGCACAGCAGGATCTCAAAGTAAAGGTCGCGAAGACTGAATTAGACCGAGACGAATGGAAGGTATTTCACTACGCGTCTTCCGAAACCAGTTCACTAATTAACCCTTCACAAAGTCCAAATTTATATCGCTACAGACCATGCACAATACAACCACCACCTCCCTGCAACGAGAGTTAGACACACTCAGACAAGAGTCTCAGAAATTGAAGGTTAGATTGCGTGACCTGGAGTTGGGCAATGATGACCTCGAGAGAAACGAGCGTGTGGTCGCGTCAAGTCTGGCGGATATAGAGGCAAGATATTCCAAGGCGCTGGAAGAGAAAATATTGCTCGAGCACGAACTCCTTGACAAGGCTAACATGGAAGAGGAACTACAACGTGTCAAGGATGAGCTACGAGGTACGTCATGTTGGACTGCATGGGGATAGAGCACTCACACTTTTCTGCTAGATTCATCTGTAGAAATATCTATTCTCAAGGATCAGCTAATCGCTGCTCGCTCTAGGGCACCGAGCATTGTGACCGAAACTTCCAGTTCCACCACCGTTTCATCACTATTCCCTCCTCCGACGGTTTCATCGGATGACAATCTGCTTAGTACTCCGCCGCCGCCAGATCTTGAACTATCTGATCTTTCTTCCAACGAGAAATCCTCTATTCCTACCCCTACTCGCCCCCCTTCTACCGCTGCCAGTTCAAATTATGGACAATCCGTCCTACTCCAGCGCGCAGGTTTCCAACTGAGCAAACGTAACCCTGATACTTCCTCGCCTTCATCAATGACCCGTTCAAGCACCCTTCCAACCCTTGCTGCTTCACGCAACTCTCCTCGGACTCCGGTCCTTGTTCCACGACCTGCCGCTGTTACTGCCAGTTCTAGTGTATCCAACATCACTGCCGTACCTATGATGGCATCCAGAAGTAAGGGTGTTCAAATGGTTTCCGAAATGCGTGCTCGTGTCAAGAATCTAGAACAGAAGATTCATACACGTGTTCCTCGCTTACGGATGGGCAGTAATGCTGGGCGGCAGGGAGCGACAATATCCACGATGGCCTCCACATCCACTATATCCTCTACATTGTCATCTAAGAGTACCTTTACACGTTCTGTGATGCCAGACAGCAAACTTGGCAAACCGACTCCACAGCGACTTGGCGTAGATACCGCTTTGGCGGGCGGTGCGACCACGCCCAACCCTAATAATTCAGGATGGGTTCTCATTATGGACGATACTACTCCCTCTCCAAATAAGGACGCTGAGGAGGAACATAGACGCTCATCCAGTCCCTCACCCCCCAGCGCTTTTCACCGTGGAGTTCCTTCGTCGGCATCATCTCCTATTTTCTCCAAGCCCAGTCAATTTGGCCAAAGCACGATGACCCATAGTCGTCGACCTCAATCACGCCTCTCCGGAGCCAGCCTCAGCACTACCGCAACAATGAGTTCCATCCCTACTCCTTCATCTCGCCCCGCAACTCCCACTTTCCTTCCTATTCCGATCTCCCGTCCAGGAGTCACTGGCTACAAGAAGTCCACCGGGCTAGGGGCTGGTCCGTATGGTGGTCCACCAAAACGATCCTCTATAGGTTCCAGTAATGCTGGGTCACCTACTCCTTCTTCGGATTCAGAGTTCCGTCCTCGCGAACGACCGTTCTCATACAATGGGAAAGTCCAGAACGACTTGAAATCGCTACCGCACTCCAACGTAACAGTTCGGGCATCCTCTAGAATCCCATCCTCCGCCAGCAGTGTCTCGATATTGTCGCAGAGCAAGATTGGTCGACCTGCGGGTATCACCGGTGCGTGGAAGAGCGGCGGATTAGGGCTTCCTGGTCAGGAAAATGGCGGTTTTCTTGAACCTGACAAGAAACCTCGCAGCAGGTCCGGGAGCAACGTGCTCAATTTTGGACGTGGCGGCGTTTCTTGATTTTTCTTTCTGAATATCTCATTTTCCGTTTGTGACATGCTATGCTGACTTTGGGACGGCGCACTGACGATCATTTAGACTACACGCATTTTAGGTCTCTAAGACCACTACATGCCCACTCGTTTTCGCGAACTATTTTGCAGGGCGTACCTGCTGATCCATGCCTCCTATGACATTAATGACAGAACACAAACAGAACGAATACCCATTTACCAGCGACCCTTTGCGCGTGTCTTCACTTCCGCTGGTACCATGATACATTACTTGTTTCCGATCTGTTCTCATATTCTCATTTCTTTCCATCTGTCATTTTATTTTTCTCTCTGGAATTGTGTCAATTATTCCTAATGATGATTTACGTAACAATGCCTCTCAGCCACGTCCACTACATTCAGTGATTGCAGTCCATTTGGACTAACTATTAAGTACATAAGTACTGTAAGTACCACCACCCAAACTCTTCTACCCTACAATGTCTACCCCTGGTCCATCTGAATCATCTCGCTCGCTAAATTCTCAACAAGTGCTCGAAGAAGATGAGTACACAGCAGCCTTGTCTCACATCATAGCGAGAGACTTCTTCCCTTCTCTCGTGCATCTTGACGCGACCAACGAATACCTTGATGCTGTATCATCGAGAGACCCCCACTTGATCAACGCATCCGTGCGTAGATTACAAGAAGTTAACAGTACCCCCACCACCTACCGCGGACGACCATGGCAGACGCCATCCATGACGCCCTACGGTGCTGGTCCATCCGAGACACCGTTACGCACACCACATGGGGACCCAGTAACGAAACGCCCGCGGTATAGCACAGACATGAGTCTGGACAATTTCCAGGCGCGGTATACCTCAGAAGATAACGCTAGCTTTACGCAGATTATGGATGAGGAGAACCGGAAGAGGAAGGAGAGGTGGGGCTGGGCATGGGAGGCACAGAAGAGAGTTGAAGATCAGAGGGACAAGATGATTGAAGCAAGGGAGAGGATGATGATTGAGCCTGCCCAAGCAACAGGTGTGAGAGAGAAGTTTGTGATCGAGGCCCCTACTGTCGCAGGACTCATCACGCAAAGTGGAGAGTCGTTGAAGGAATCGGAAGGTGAAAGTCAAGATGCGAAGGACAACGACAAGGGTAAGGGAAAGGAGGTGACTATCTTCAATGAAGAAGACGAGCCTATGGACGTTATGGCCCCAAGGAAGGATACTCGTCCGGCCGGCGTTGATGGTTGGAATTTCAAGGTGTGTTTGGCTCAGACGAGATTTTCAGTTCATGGCTGAAGTCCTGGATTACAGGCTCGCAATTCTCTCATGTTCTCCCCTGACGCCGACATGTCTCCGTACCACCGGCGTACATCAAAAGCTAAAGCAAGCGATGATCTCGGCATCATAACGCATGTGAATACACGTCTACAAGAGCAAGATGAAGGAGATTCTCAGTCTCGAGCTGCATCTGCCCCACCAAGTCCCACTCGCAGTCGAATTGATGCTGCCATCACTGGCACGCCATGTAGGTTTTATTTCGCGCTGATCAATTTGTTTTTCTCTTAAGCACCCTCACTAGATCGACCGCGGTCTCCCACCAATGATTTTTCGCTTGTTCCCAGCCTGCCTTCACCTACCGCTGCTGAACTGGGCCCTTCTGCCGTTAATCAGCTCATGACATGGGGAACCCTAAATGCAACTCCACGGGTATTGTCAAAGTCCGATGATCCAGCAGAAGTCTTGCCACTGCCTAGCACACCTTTCCACATTGCTGCGCCATCGAGCCGCGAAGCATTATCTCACAAATTATCCGCACATGCTTCGAAAAGCCTTCGCGCGAAAGCTGTCCTCCTTGGGGGGCCAACCCCAATTATTGGACGCACACCAGCCCGAGGGGGTTCTTCAAAGCCAGGTTCTATGGGCCCTCCAAGTTGGACTCCGCGGAGAGCTGACGCACCTGGCAATCTGACACCTGCAGGAAAGAGATTGTTGGATAGAACTACGATGGGTACTGCAGCAGCGAGAAGGGCGGAGGCGATGGGTCGAATGTCTGGCTGGGAAAGGGACGGACTGGGGAAAGGGATCTTAACCGTGTGCGGTGGACACCGACACCGACAGCTCGGGGAGGATAAGACCTATTCCGCGGACAAAGCAAATGAGCATGTCTTATGCATGCCTCTGATGTTGTATTTGAGGACAATGGAATGTCAAGACTAGGCAGCGTGTTCTCGAATTAGATGATACTACTACAGTGAACAAATCCGCAAGGACAACTACAGGAAAGTCGGAAGATGGAACTATGATGGATGTCATGATCCGGACATCTTGCGACGTTTTGTGGCCGGTGGTGCATCCTCATCGATGTTCTTAATAGAATCCTTCGCCTTCGATTCGCTAGGTGTCGGAGCGTTAGAATTCGGTCTCTTCTTCACTACAACACCCTTCAATGATTTCTTGACATCTTTCTTGGATACCACCACGGGAGCTTTAGGCTTCTCCGGAGTATCATCACTCTGTTTTCGTGGTTGTGCCATAGGTTGCGTAGGCTTGTTGAGGTCGTTTTCCCTAGCTGCAACAGCTCTTTGCAGATTCTCAATGTCAGCGACGGAGGGATAATGAGTGGAAGCATACTTTCTGAAGTCTGAAAGCTCCTCGCCGTCCTGTGCTTTCCGGAGGCGTTCTTCTTCGGCCTGCTTTTCTCTGATAGAATCTAGAAACATGATCTCGTCCTCTTCTAGTGCTCGAAATTGATTCGCTACAATTGGGCAAGTCAAGATCACCATGAAAATATATCATTCCGACTTGCCTAACTTCGTCTTCTCCTCCCATTCTTCCTGTTTCGCAGCCTAACATGCCTATTAATTCATAGAATGAAGAACGACTGAGGTAACGCACCCTGTTCGCAGCTAATTTCTATTCACAGTTTGATTTCAAGTGGACACCCGAGGCAAAAGCAGTGCCACTCACCTCTGCTAAACTTCGACCATCGAAAGAATCTTCCACAGGCTGCGGCGGAGGCACCTGTCCGAGCCTAGCATAGTTCAGCTTCGTGTGTCATTTTATTCTCAAGGCTGTATCTGCTGCGCACCTGGCATATGCTGCTTTCCACTGATCTTCTCTACGTGCCTTCGCCTCCTCTAGGTCGTTTTGAGATATGAATCTCGAACCGACACCGCCAATTGACACTGATGGCAAACCGTCCTCCATGTGTTAACCTTACCGATAATTGAATGACCCCATCGGTGTAACCATGGCCGGCATTTCGGCACTTACCGTCGCTTCACAATCATATGTATTCAATAGAGCACAGTTAGCAGACTACTTTCGTATTGTTGTCACTTATGAGAATCCGTGTAGTGGATGGCCTGAACGCTACTGTTTGACAACTGATCAGCGTTCAATTTGCACTAGCTGGTTCCCAAGCTTCATCCCTTTCTCTTCATTTTTTAAAATTCCTTCACCCATGTCTCTATCAGCTGCCTAGCACTCGAAAACCTCTATCGGTTCCGTCAAACAGCAGCCTTGCAGTATCAGCCCGGAGTCATGCACTCGTAGTACCTTCAGCGACGAGAACCGTCATTACTGCACCTCGTATGAACCTCTGAATGCTAATCGAGCGGTGTCACTTACTTTGTCCCTTAATCTGCTATAGCTTGGGCGCAGGATGAACCTCCTTCTCCCATAGATGACGACCATCATTTATATGATCAAAGACCATCCGACCTCGCCGCTTCTCGTTCGTCATTTGGAGGATTAAATGGAACTTGGTCCGAGCATCAATCACCCTGGGGAACGTTCGCACGTTCTCGAGAACCTCAGGGAGAGTCCTCGAGTCAAGCGGCTGGCAAAATAGGCGCTGCCTACCAAAATCGACCACCCTTATCATCATACATTAATCCCCAGTCGTGGAATGTGCCCCACTCCCAGACAGCTTCTCCGCTGGAGAAGGAAGCTGCGCATCCTCATGCCGAGTCCTCCGCGCCTTTCACTTCATCTCGCAATAAAACGCCTGGTTGGGACACGCCATGGGAACCAACCCGCGATTTCCCTACGAATGATTATTCCCACCTTGGGATGACTGGAGATCGCTCAGATAATGAGTCAGGAGACAGGTCCAACTTCGGGAGATCTAGGAAAAAGCGCTTTAGAGCCTTCATTCTTACGAATATATATGTGCCATTAGTGAGTGTAGTGCTGTCTACTCACTCTGTCGTGTGTATAAATCTGCGATCTAGCTTTTTAGATTCATCAATATAACGTTTACCACTGCAGCCCTAGCGGTGGCCATCAGGATACGCACGATCGAATTGCAAGATGGAGTCATGGGAATCGTAGGAAGTTCTCCGTACGTTACTTTGCGGCTTGATAAGTGACAATTTGATGAACATATGTTTGCCAGAACCTTAGTGATAATATTTTCACCTCTAACTTTGGTCCATGTTATGGTGGCGATATATGCGAGTCTCTCTAGCTTGATTTCTCATCACCATCTCATACCATCATAGCTCGAATATTTTGGTCGTCCCATGGGATTATGGCGAACATCTGCCAAACTTGCACACACCCTCCTCGAAGTTTGTTTCATCTGTGCATGGTCTGCAGCGTTTTCCCTCTGTTTCGACAATTTCTTCACCTCCCTCATCCCCTGTGCGTCGGCAGGAAGCATCGCTTGGTACAACGAACTTAGTCGGCCTGAGCTAACGCTTCCGAACCTTGGACGAAATAAAGGCGGAGTGGGAGATACACTTTGCGACTATCAACTTGCATTGATTTGCCTGGTTGGGGTCGGCCTGGTCACGTATTGCATCAATATTGTCATCAGCCTCTTCAGGATTTTTGAGAAGGTCAAGTCGTACGCTGGTTTTCGCCCTACAATGCCGTTTTAGTGCACTATGTGGCTCATACACCCTTATATCTTGGATCATATCACGTGGATATTCATCGGATCCATCGTTTTCGTTTTCCATTTTATGCTATCACTTCATATATATATATATTCCTTCATTATCACGGACTACCAACTCAGGCGGTGTATCATCTATATACCTTTCCTCATCCACGTGTACTTCTACATATTTCTATAGCAGCATTAAAGACCACTGAATTGGTCGATTGCAGAGTGCTAAATGCCACTGGTACTGACAATCAATCTGTCTTCTCGGTTCATCGGAATATTCACACGGCAAGTCTGTACCTGTACTCACCCTTCATTGAATAACTTCGAGAAATACGTGTGCTCATCCAGTGCTAGGTCTTGCTTCATCAATCATCCTTTAGTTCAGATGGCTACCGTGTCCGACCCCGGCGGCGAGCCCTCAGAAGGCGCCCCAAGGATCACGAACACTAAGAATTACATCGTCGGCCTCGGCCTCCTCTTCGTCGTTGTCCTATTATGGACTGCATCCAGTTTCTTGACGCAAGTAAGCACACGAGTACACCTCTGGGCAGTAATATCCATTAATTTCATACAGGACATGTATGATGACGGGTACCAGAAGCCATTCCTGTAAGTGCGATTCCTATCTTTGTAGTTGGTTCCATATTTACCATGATGCAGAATAACATATACCAACACCGCGTCATTTGTATTTTACTTGCTGCCATATATCACACGAAGATTATGGGTTAATCGGTGGGGTCTGTCCAAGTCCGCAAGGTAACTTTAAGCGGTATTCTATACTTTAATTGCTGATCTATACCGACTTCAGGTCAACCATAGTTTATCAGCCGCTGGAGCAAGAGCTTGATATCGATGCAGAGCCCGCAGTAATGAAACTGTCTATCACTTTTGCACATGACCCTTCTGACTATCTCTAGGTGGAGCTGATAGCTCCAATTGATCAGGTCGATAGACCGCTAACCGTGAAGGAGACCGCAAAGATGGCCCTCGGATTCTGCTTCCTGTGGTTTATTGCGAACTGGGCTTTGAACGCTGCTCTGGCATATACCAGCGTTGCAAGTGCAACAATTCTGTCTGGCACGAGTGGTGAGTGTGTATGTACTACTGTCTTTGATCAACTGTACCAATATGTCATCCCTGGAAGGGATATTTACTCTTGCCGTTGGACGTATGTTCCGCGTGGAAACCCTAACGTTGGTAAAGATTGGAGCTGTGCTTACTGCGTATGTAGCTATTTTCGCCTTCTTCGTGGATGATTCGGCTCACCGACTTGTAACAAGTTTTGTTGGTGTGATCCTTGTTGCTATTTCTGATGGGTCTCCCGACGACCAGCCAGATGCAATAGGGTCGTCAATAATTTACAAGGTGGCTACTTCGTTGCCAGTTTTGGGAGATTTCTTGGCTTTGTTGTCGGCCGTGTTTTATGCGCTTTATGTTGTCTTCCTCAAGGTTCAGATTAGGGAGGAGTCGAGAATTGACATGCAACTGTTCTTTGGGTTTGTGGGATTGTTCAACATAGTCCTATCCTGGCCCATGGGTGTCATCCTGCATCTGGTTGGAATAGAGCGCTTTGAGATACCCGCTACTCGTAATGCTGTCGTTATTATTCTGTTGAATGTGAGTTTCTGTCGTCTATATCTCAATCTTTGGAGTTTACATGTTTTAGATGGCTATCACTTTATCGAGCGACTACCTTTACGTTATTGCGATGCTGAAGACCACACCTCTAGTGGTGACAGTCGGTCTCGGTCTCACTATTCCAGTCGCGGTCATTGGGGACTCCTTCCTTGGTAAGCCTGCCGCAGCGCAAGTATTGGCAGGCGCCCTCCTGGTTGTTGTAGCCTTTATTGCAGTCGGTGTCGAGAACGCAAAGCCAAGCGGGGGCCGTGACCTCCTTTCTGGGGATTTCGTGGACGATGCTCGCGCCCAGCAGTCCCAGGTTCGGCTTGAGCACGAGGATCCCCTTGAATGAGTTCATGTAAAGTTTATGTTTGCATACAGCTGTATTTCTCTTGAAGCCACACTCTCGCATGATGACGTTTATCATTTTTCATCGATTGTACTGCTTAGATAGATTAGATTGAATTTTGGAGCACTAAATATATATATTGGTTTTCGAGGGTAATTTCTCCAGACTTGAAAGTGATGCAAAGACCGCGGGATAATATCGCTACATGAAAACTATATAGTAAATTCGGCGCTCATGTACATGTGACTCGAGGACTGATCAAGAATGGTTTGGCGCTACCGCGAAGGGATGACAGAAGGAATTTGGAGGGTCTAACAGTAATACGCCGCAAGTACCTAGTATCTGTTTACACTTATTAGGATCAGAAGCTCTTAGCATCTTACGTCATGTACTGGACGTTTGATTCGAATCTATCAAGATGGTGGGTAATGAGCCTCATTGCTACACATCTCACTGATATTCAGTATAGCCTAGAGAGCGCAGGAAACGTATTTCAGCCCATGAACCTTCCGTTAAGCTCGCCCGGCGACAATTTGCAGTGCAAGAGAATGCGGTTGAAACCGTCGAAGTAGGTGCCGCGGCAGAGGTTTCAGTGCGTTATATCATTTATGACAAAATTTTAAAATTTCTCTTATGCTTAATCTCGATACTCGTCAGGGGAAAGTAATATTGCAAGAAATGTCCACAGCAGCTTCTGAGCCTCGTCATTCAATAAAGAAGAAAGAGAAACAGCAGCTCAAACACGAAGCTTTCATTGAAAGTATGCTCTATATTTCCGATCATCACTCCTCTTCTCATCTTGTGTTTTAGAGCTGAAATCGAAAACATCCCCGTACTCGAAAGTGCAGAGACGCCGATTCAATAGACGGCAACGAGAACAAGTCGGTGGCGGACTTGATGTCATTGGCGCTGTTCTTTCCGCTATTGATATGGGTGACTCACCAGAGCAAGGCAGTCCAATGGCCGAGGAGACAAAGGATGCTCACGCTCACAAAGTTCAACCGAAAACGCTTCAGATTGGGGAGGGCAAGGGAATGCCGCTAAGGAAGAATCAACGAAAACGTGCTTTGTGAGTTCATACAGATTTTTCACTTTTATCTGCTCGTGTTAATCTACTTTTCAGGGAACTTGAGAAACTTCGACAGCCATTGATACTCTCAAATCCACAGTACTCGTCTAACCCATTTCAAACGATCCGCACTCACGCGCAGAATACACTCGTGAAGCGTGCTGATGTCCCCAATGCGCAATAACTTCAATGTACGATAATCTAAATGTACGAGAGTCTACAACTACATTCATGACTATACCCGGTGTTCCGAGACTTACACGGTGATGATGGATGGTATGCGACCACTGGCATAATGTCAATGTCCTCGATTTTCGCCATCCGGGTAGATGTTGAGGAGCGACATGTTTGCTTCTTCATGAGGAAGTTATCTAGTACATTATTCGGGAAGCGCATGATGACATGAGTTTGGATGACTCGCGTGAGTGTGCTCATTCGAACCCATCTATATACCAGCATTCATTTCAGTCGTATGCACACCTAGGAAGTGCGCGTCAGATTTCAAGTAAAGCAAAGGTATGCAATACAAAAACTGAAAGCGCTGACTTGTATATTTTCCAACAGTACCAAATAGTATCGTGTACTGCGTTATGGCATAAATTCCCAAGTGTGGTCGTTTGGGATATATCGCCAAACATTGTCAGTGGTGCCACAAGAAGTGTTTGTATTGATAGGAAACGGTAGGCTATACCTGCTGAACATGAATCCATCTCCTTTTACGTGTATAATATCTGTGGCAAATAACGTAGGTTTGTTCCCAGACCCCATGGGGACTGTTTTATTTTTTCGCCGCTTTGGAATTCCCAACGATGTGATCTCAGACGTATCAAGATGAGTCAGTGCCTCGTGTCTCGGGTGCATTGCGCGCAGATTATGTTCACAGGGACTGTGCTCCGGGTCCCGTTTTTTAAGTTCACGGTAGACACGCGCTCAAACGCCACGGGGACCATTTGCTACTACAGTTAGCCGATTTTTTGGGGAGATTATGCCTTTATTTCGTAGATCGGCACTATTTCCGATTTGCGAACTGTCAGTGGTTTGAATGATTGATGACTTTCATCCACAGTTTAACTGGTCACATGGTTCCAGGTAACTACAACTTCGTGGGTGATTTAAATCGCAAATAATGGCCCTGACCTGCACTGTTTTGCTATGCATTGTTGCTCGCTACTCGCAAATCCGTACATTATGTAATAGCCTCACGCAATTGCAATTACATTTTATTTCGAGCAATGTGCATCTAATATATATAACAGACACTAAGTATTTGTTTGTATATCTACAGGATTAAAACAGTTGCTGAGATCCGATTGTGCCAATGTCGCAGACGTCGCAATGAACCTTCCCCACTGAAAACACATACATACTATTTCAAACACACTTAATCAACTTCCCATTCACAATGGCCACGAACATGCTCTCGCCAATCCAGATTACAACTAATCACTGCGTTCCCTTTCATCAAATCAGTATCACAGCAAGTCATATCTAGCATGTTGACATTCACCCCACGTCCTGCCCCAGCATCACTGCCACGCATCTGCCACACTTTACACCGACCCAGCCTCCGGTTTTCGTCATTCACCTCGAAAAACGCGTCCCGACAGCCTCATTCATCCTGTCGCAAAACATTTTCAACCAATTGCAAGGACTTCAAGTTGTTAAGCTGCAGATTGACGGTACATCAGTACTAGCTTGCGTCCGACACGTCCCATGACGTAGTATGTATGCGTTACTGCGCTTGCATTGAATAAAACTCCGCGACAACTGCAGGTTTCGATGTATTATGTTATCATTCAATCATCTACTTGTTCACCACAGCAATAATGTACGCTCATTCACAGGAAAATAAAATGGACGTTCTGCAGGAAGGCGCAGTTGACGATGACATCCTGTGCCGTTTTTCCCTCCCCTGCTGATGGCATGGTTTACATCTTGCTTCATCTCGCGAACGTTTCATGTCAAAATTATTACCTTTTATCCCTCGCCAAATGTATGCTCAAATACGCAACCTCCGCGGAATCTCCACGAAATTCCATAAAAAACATCCAATACCCGAGTTCACTGATCACAACGATCATCGATAATCGCACGGCCCAGCATGACCCCACTGCTTTAAGTTGCACCTTCCTGTCCCTTCCTGTATGTTCAGTCCTAATTTTGACCCCTTTTGCAGAACATGGCAGTGTTTCATCGAGACGTGGCAACCGGATAGGTTTCTATCGAGGTTCCTCAGGTCTTGTTAAGTTCCCAGTGCAAAGACCATTATGGCCCTCCAGGTCAGGGTAAGTATCTTGATGTCTGCGTTTCATACAGAACTTTATGACGAGGCAACCGATTCTCCTCGTAGGGACCAGTTATCTGGCCTCTGTCATCAGTTTGGGCAATACTCAATAGTGCAATTTGTACAGTACAGGCTCGTGTTACCGGATCCGCAATATGTCATTTGCATTTCCATCTCGTTGATTCATTTCTTTTAGAAAACCTCACTTGTGTATTGTTATCTTGGGGCCCTGCCCGGGCCATTGACTATCGGACCACAAACCCTATCCCAGCAGCTGTCGGAACGACGCCGAGGCAAGTATCTGATTATGTGCGACACGGACATGGCGCTCGCGATCTTGCAGGTCCGCTACTGCATGTGCGGGACCGACGCCACGACAACATGAGCTTAGGATTGATTATTAGCACCCTTCTATTAACCAAACCATCGCAGAGTCGTGTGTCATTGTACGAGAACAGGTTACGACCTCTGCAAAATCTTCCTCTAGTACATCAACTGGAGAAGGTCTTTGCAGATGTGAATTAACCTACAGCTCGAATTAAACATTAACACTCGACATCGTATGTGATCCACAGCTCGTCTATTCGCAACACGGCAACAACGCGGTACAAATATATCGTGGTATGTAAATAAGGTATATGCAGTGTCATACAGAAGGTAGCTCAGACTCAGGTGTCTGGCTCATCCCCTGTGCGGCTCATTCCAGCACTCCAAACCGTACTCCCGCTCCCACCTCCGCTCCTTCTGCTTCTGCGACTTCTCCACTCCTCTCCAAGGCTCCTCGGGGGCTCAGTAAAGCCTCCCGGTCTGCCTTTGGCAATCTCATCGATAAGCATTTGCTCATGCGCATCCAATGCTGCCAGAGAGTTCTCTGCCTCCGCTTGCTCCAGAGCCTCATGCGTGAGTTCAGACCGCCCGTCACCAATAATGCCAAGTTCATTCGTTGCTTGATGACTATTGTGTGTCGAAGGCCCGGAATTAACAGATGAAGTGTCGGAATGACCAGTGGTGGATCGTGACCTGAACATTGAAAAGAGACTGGCTGTGGCAGTCTGAGGGCTCTCGGGGGTCGAATAACTCTTTTGTATGGACACCAATGGAGAAGGGGCAAGTTGCTCAATACCCATGAGTTTCATGGTTGCATGGAGTCGCTCTCTTTCCCGCCGATCCTCCTCGTCTTCATGGGTCTCCAGTTTGCGTGCGTTAGTCATGGGCGTGGAAGTCGACTTCAACGTAAGAGGTCGCAAATTGGCTGGTTCGGGTTTCTTCTCTGCGCCACCGAACAAAGAGAAGTTCTTCCAGTCGATGGATATAGAACGTCGTTGAGATGTCTTCGGGGAAGAGGTATCGGAAATGGGGAGTGGTGACGATGGCGCCTTCTCGGGAGCGGGGGTGAGGGCGGAATCAGAGACTGCTCGAGAGAAAAAAGCTGATTGCGGTCGAGGTTTGGATGCCTTCGCTGGTGCACTGGCAGTGGTTGTTACACCCAGAGAAGGAGACTTAGAATGCATGGTTGGAGACTTCTCATAGTCCACCGAGAGGACATGCTCGAAACCTTCTTCTGCAATGATTCTATCGATGATTTTGGACGCATATAAAGAAAGTGCCTTGTTGGCATCTTTGAGAGTCTTGACTTCTGATCGTAGGGCCTCCAGGTCTGTATTTGAGTCTGGCATGTCGGAAGTGGAGACTTTCCTGGTGTCCGTAGATGCCTTCTTTCGTCTTCCTTTGCCACCAAGAGCTCGATCGCCGTCGATGGAATCTCCGGAGAGAATGTCCTTGTTCTCAGCACGGCCAAGTTCAGCAGCCAAGTCAAGTCCTGGACCGGTAATAGGAAGGTCAGCGAGAGACTCTCCGCGCGGAGCTCGACTGGGAGAATGTGACGCCGAGTCATTCCTGCGCACATGACGTCCGTGGCGGTTTGAAGATGGCGAATCAGATCTGAAATGTTGCTCCAAATCATCATCCTCCATCATCTCTTCCTCGACCCTGTCCAGCACGCTCCTGCCCGTACTCCTAAGACTACCTTCGTCAGCGCAGTCGTCTACCACCACTTCATCGTCATCGTAGCCGCCGTCCGTTGTGTTTGGGGCGCCACCGACTTGTTTTAAGAGATCAAATTGACCACTTAATGTCTTCTCCCGTAACAAGATCATGTAACTCTCGTTGTCCTCTTGTAATTGATTGTTGACTCTCTTCAAATCCACGAGCTGCGCTTGCAAAAGTACGAGAGTACTTTGCAAGGATGTATAAGATGTTGATAGTGTCGAGAGTTCAAGTTTGAGAGCGGTCATTTCGGCTGGTTCGCTTTCCGGATCGTTGAGGTCCTGCTTAGTAGAATAGTGCTGGTCTTCGCGATTTCTAGGGACAGCGACTTCTGATGCCTCCGCCTCCGCCTCAATGTCGGTGTCGAGGGAATCGGGGCGAGAAGAATTCGTAGTAAGGGTTGCATCAATAGATTGGGGCGGTTCAGCAACTTTGCGGGCTTGCGTAAGAGACTGAATCCGTGATCTGAGGTGCTGTTCGTTGTCATAGGCTGCTTGGCGCTCTGCCTCGAATGTTGATGTCTACGAATCATCCATGTATGTATGAAGTGCGAGAAGAGACAAAAACGGACCTGCTCATTATATCGTCTATGCAAATCTCGCTTCTCCCGCTCAAGCTCCCTGACTTGTGCCCGCAGCTTGTCAGAGACTTCGATACGGGCTGCCATCTCCTCTTCCATCCGCGCTTGATCAACGTACAGATCATTCAAGCGAGATTCTGCCAGATTCAGGGCAGACATGACATTATCGTTCTCAGCTGTCAGACTGACAATCGTCTGATCCTTATTTTGGATTTGGACAAGCAGCTGATGTGGCGGTCAGTGAAGCACTCTCTCTCGGAATTATGAACGCACCTGTTCCTTCTTTTCGGTCTCATGTTTCAGGGCAACATTCAGCGACTCACGAGACTCTGGTCCCATTGCTGGTGCTGTTTTCGTAGAAGAGCGGCGTGAGACCGCTGCGCCCTGTGAATTTGGGGTACGAACAGAAGCCAGAGCTGGACGGGGTGTAGAAAGACTCTTCGCGGGGGGAGGCGACATGGCGACGCTAGATGGGCGTCTGGAACCCGGTGGAGTGGCCCGAGAAGTTGGGGCGCTATTCATGATGCAGTTCAGGTATCAATGTTCAGGCGAACAATGTTCAGCGTGAAGCGGCGTAACGCTGGTATCTGAGCGCCCTAGAAAGTTATTGGTACATGAATTTGGCTTGCAGGCCAGCTGTAAGTTGATGTGTTGTAAGTATGTATGTGTGAGCTTGGTTGAACTTTTCATGCGAAACCATGTCTTTCAAGTCCAGAACGGGTAGGTGTCGAGTAGTCCACTACCGTGACAAACGTCTTGCGGCACAATGCAAATCTAGTAGTGAGTGGCTCTCATCGACCACAGCACCTTTCATTGTATCAGAGTGCTACGGGATTGACATTTCACTTTAGAACAGGATGGCTTCCTTGCTAAACGAGATTCCTCGAGAGTCCCTCCAAAATGTAAGTTCACTCTCTCCGTTATCAAGGACAACTTAGCTCAATCATAGCCAGTTGCTTTCCTCCGTAAGGGTACACAGTGAGATCTAGCACATCGCCCCATTTGATATCTTGAGTGACCGAACCTCGTCAGCTCCGTCTTTCGGACATCACATCTCAGCTGAAGGTCATGCTCCTGCACCGCTACTTTCATCCCTCAGCCGCGGAGATGTCATAGAGGTTCAGGGTCCTGCTTCATCAGGGAAAACCCATCTCTTGTACCATCTCATACTGCTCTGTATTGCCCCGTCAAGGGAAATGTCCATAGACTTTGGGGGGAATGGATTGGCTGCAGTTGTCTACGACACAGATGCATCATTTGATGTCGCAAGACTTCACCAGTTGCTGTTGACACGTTTGTCACTTGTTCTCCCATACAACATCGAGATGGCACGACGTTTAACTGAGGAATCGCTGCACCGTCTACATGTCTTTCGACCAACTTCGCTCCTCCAACTCGCCACAAGTCTTTTACATCTCCCATTGTATCACAAGGTCTCCATACCAGAACACGAAATAGGCCTTCTTGCCGTGGATTCAATGAGCGCATTTTATTGGACCGACCGTTTCATCGCGGAGCAGATGCGCAACATGCCCCAAAGGGAACTACACCCTTCATCGGTAAACCCACTCCAGCATGTGCTCACGGCACTTGGTCGGCTTCGCTTGTCTTATGCCCCTTTCATAATATTGACCAATTGGGGTCTGAATCTCGCCTCGCAATCCAGTGGACCGGTGACGTTTTACAAGCAACACTTGCATCCATTCCCTGTTTACTCTGAAAACCATGACGCGAGCGATCTGCCCAGTTCGATGACGGGCGACCTTCCACCAGCGCCCATGCCGCTTCCCCTTACGCACCACATTACCTTATCCCCGGTGTCAATACCTCCTTTTGCCCCAGAGATTTCCCTGCATAATGCCGTCCAACAGGAAGTAGAGTATCGCAGAAGTATGGTACAAAAGGGGGAAATTACAGGTCTTGTCAGGACTACGGGAAGGCAAGAGATAACCCGTTTGACTCTTCGCATCACACCTGAAAACGTTCATATCACGCACTTCTGATGCCTTTCGTAACTTCTTTGATTGTTAGTCCGCTGATACTAATGTATTTGACATTTTGATATATGTATACGGTTTGACTAGGTACTTCCACTTGCGTAGGGGATGTAGTAATTAATATAAGTTGTACTGCTACAGTTGTCAATTGGGAGTTAGTTAGTTCCATAGCTAGTAATGTGTAGCGCTGATAAAACAAGGTATAGATATAAGTTAGATCCAAGACGATTATTTCAACCAGGATAAGATATAAAGGGTTGCTTTACTGCAGAGAGGCGTAGACCTTGTCGAGTTCAGCTTGGTATGCCTCCTCAACAGCCTTGCGCCGAATGTTGCCTTTAGTCGCAGTGCGAGGAAGAGATCCCGAAGGCACTACAATAATCAAATTCGGGTTTGTGATCTGCTCATGGAGGTAGCGCCGGGAGTGAAATTGGCGAGTTTTGCGGATGATGTCCCGCTTGAGCTTCCCGTAGTCGACACCAGGAGCAGGCTCAACAAAAAGAGCGGGTGACGGACGCCCGGTTCCCACGACAATGCATTCTTCGATGAGGTCACCGCAGGTAGCTCGAATATTATCTTCGATTGCTCTACATATCTCGTAAATTAATGGCTTCGAATCGCACAGTAAGTCAGACGTACTTTGTATCGCACCGCAAGCTATTTTCGCTCTTGATCCAGTCATCATTGCGACCACGGAATGCATATGACCCGGGCATAATTTCTTGGAACAAATCTCCGGTGTGGAAGTGACCGTCACTGCCGCGCAAAGACGAGTCCGGGCAGTCGTCAGAGCTGGAAAGAATGACAAGCTCCAACATTTGGGCTGACGTCTTATGCCCTGACTCGATCTGAGTGTCGGCATCAATGGGTAGAAAGCCGTAAGACGTCCCCGGTATGGGACGAAGAAGAGGTGCATCCCGGCCTTTGCCGCCCATAGAGAGGAGCATTGCACCACATTCGGTGCTGCCGAAGAGGTTCTAATCCCTCAAGGTTAAGCTGAGGATGAAAAACTGCTCAGATAAATCTTACCTTCAGGTTCAATCCATTTTTGTATGCCCAGTCCTCATCCTCGCGAGGCAATGACAATCCGCTGAGTAGAATTTGATCAAGACTTTGGAGGTACCCAAGAAGTTTGCGGTTTTGCCGCGAGTTGCGAAGGTGAATGGAAAGGAACGTGGCAAACTGATTCAGGCGATTGAGCTGGCAGCGGTGGATCATATCGATCAATTCTTCTGAGGAAAACCCAATCTTCGTTGGCTGAATGACGCAAGACCCGTGTTGCAAAGTGCCAATGAGCACTAGAACCATGTCAGAAAATAAGGCATAAACGATTCAACGTAGGGCTCACTGAATGTTTGAGCGATGTGACACATGCTGCCCCTGGAAAAGAGTTAGGAAGGGAAGGGTACTACGGGATGATGGACATACATCCAAACGGAAACGTCTTGCTGACGCGGATTTATGGGAGCGCTGGTCACCCCAGCCTTCGCCACAATTGCATCGAGCCAGCGAGAATTGCAAGGGACGAGCTTGGGGCTGCCTGACGTAGAGCCACTTGTGTGGAAAACAAATACCGCTTTGTCAGGGTTGGAGGTGGGTCGTATGAGAGGAAGGTCATGTTCGAAAGATGCCATGTCCCGCTTTTCAATTGCCAGATGGACGGGAAGGGGGAACGATGCAGTCAATGACTGGAATTGGGAATCAAATATCAACGCTTTCGCGCCTGCCCTCGTGAGCAGCTCAAGCACAACGTCAGGATTTGGCAAACGAATGCTGAAGAGCTGAGGGACATATCCAGCTCGCGAAAGGCCATAAATATGGAGAACATCCTGGTATGCCATTCCCGGTAGCCTGCAGTTGCGACGTCAGCGACCTAGATTATAGAGCGGGCTCGACAGACATACCATAGACCTACGACAGAATGTTCCGGTACGCCGTCAGACTCAAGTATCTGATGCCAATACCGAGCAGTGAATTCGACGTCATCCTTGAACTGGCTGTAAGTTATTGACGACCAATCATGTACCTGACCAGTTGATGGATCTGATCGGGGCACTCTGAAGACCGGGACGTCTGGGTAGGAAGAAGCACTGCGTTCTAGGACGGTGAGGTGAGATAGGTAAGTAGACATCAAGGAGAGGAGGTGAGATGACTACAGCAGGTTTGGCTGGAGGGGCTTTTATATACATGCTGTACGAAGACCCAAGCTTCGAGTCAGAGCATATCCCGGGACGGAGTTGTTTACAAATGTGGGTGGTAAAGCGTTGTTAAGCGTGTTGCGGATAGCCTCCAAATCACGGCGATAGGTCAGATATTGAAACGATCGAGACACCGCAGTGCGAGTTGAACGTATAACCTGGCGCTAAAAAAGGATACAACAAGCGAAACCCAAGTAGTAGACTTGGGATCAGACCTGAGAAACGCCACGGGCGACAAAGATCGCCGTGTCAGACCCTGTCAAACCACGGAAGTAAATTGAAACTTGGAAATCCAGGGCAATAAATTGCTAGTTTGGGGGTACGACATCTCGTAGTAGCACGGCTGAGATGAAACTAAAACAATCGCATCGCGCATCGGATTCGGAGTGTGCAATACAGTTGCGATATGGCAAAGAGCGTTCCGCCAGGGACGGAGGTTGGCATATCACGTGATGACTTATCTTTGGCGTGTCTATTAGTATGAAAATGAAAATACTGCCAGTGGAAACGGGCCAAGCACAGAGACTTGCACTGCTTGGATTACAGCCCGAACTAAACCATATTTTGATCAATTACGATATCGCCTCCTTTCCAATCACTGACCTTGTATTCTTGCCATCGTGGCAACTAGTTTTTGTTCCATCATCTGCGAAATATTACATACCGGAGCGACTCGTTACGATTTAAGTTTCAACCTAAAGAACTTGAAGTGGTAACCAGATTGAATGAAACGTTTTCGGCGGTGGCGAACACGAACCATCCTGAAGGTGACAAGGTGGCTCTCGAACGAAGACGAGCGGAATGACTCATTCCGTTCGCTGACTTATGTAATGGTTTGCAACAGACTCAGCGTGGTTCAGGGGTTCTCTTCAGTCCGACGGCATGGCAGTCCCGCGACAAATCTTTTTGTGATTCAAGCCCTACTCTCCCTGTAGATCAAAATAACCGACGAGGCAATGTCACTACCTTGATAGTTCTCCATATGTCACACAGTTCGGTACCGGCATTTGGTGAACCTTTGAGCCACTCGACAGAAACTCTCAGACGCCAAGTACTCGTGATCGCCTCCCTGACTTTGGCAATGTCGTCGCGCAATTTCGGGAGGTCCAGGGAATGCACCACAAGGTAAGGTTTTAAACAGATCAAGCGCATTGGCGGTTCCAAGGCACCAACACCCATCCGCTCAACGCAAATTACCTTCTTTCTTGCCACCGTCAGGGTGTCGTTCATGTGACCTTTGAATGTTACTTCAATGATTAGACGCTGCTCGCTTCAATCTATTAGGCACGAGGAAACCCGGACAAGCGGACTGAATCACCCGCTATCGCTTGTTATTCCTATGATCGCGGGAGGCATCTTGACCATATTCTAAATGTACGGAACCAGATCGCCGCTGGAACGCTGTTGGTTCACCTGCACACGCGCTTTGACGAATTCAATTAGTTGAACGTTGTTATGAAACTCACTTTCAGTGGCGTTGAGTGTTTCGACTCTCGAGTAAGGTGGGCCGCCTCCATCGGGCAGGCCCATCGGGGTGATTTTTCTTCCGCCTCCAGTGGAATCTGTTGTTATTCGTGTCGATAGGCCGGCGAGCAGTCGTGTCGAATACGACGTCCCCCCACTCTTCCATGAAACTTATAGTCTTACACTGATATCAAGTGTTATTTTTTAGAGTACTTGTTATACTCTATAGACACGGGTCGCCCGTTGATATGTAGACAGTTCACCAATATTGTTTGTGGCGAGCTGCGGGAATAGTTGAGGTATGTAGGGTGGTAGTCAGTGTACAAGTTCATACCGGAATTTTCCGATTAAACAACCTTTTGCTCTGGACGCCAGCTATTGCATGCTCGAGAGTCCATATCATCGACTCTGCAATTTCTGTAAGATCATTTCCATTCCATCTGTTTACTCTCAAGGCTCACCAAACTTTTACTTCCAGCCACGGTGGTCGAGCTTCACAGCCTCCCCGATTCTGGCTGTCGATGCTAGGGGGAGCCAGCCCCATTCACAGGCAGCATCTCAAGCAAGCCGTCCGAATCTGCATCGGTCGCCACATTCCTCTCGGAACGCCATTCCATTCCATCTATCATTTTTGTCATACAGCATGTTCATCTCGGGCAGTGACTCATTCCAAGGCACATTCACCAGACCATCAAGCCAGTGCAGAACGAAATTTTCAACCCGCCCATGCTCATTTTGGGACATCTCATTGTCGCAGCCCAAACCCGCAGCCCTTTATGAAAGCCAAGCAATCTCCCGCCACAGGAACTCTGGACAGTTACCCACAGGAAGTGGTAGCTGCCATCGACACGTGTCTTGCACAGGCGAGAGAGTTGGTGGATTGCGAAGCTGTAAAAAGGATCAAGGATGTTCCTATCCACTCTCAGTATTTCACCGACAGGGAGTGTGTCAACCGTCTCGCCCAGGACGCGGCTGCGACTTCACGCCCACAACGAGCGTTGCAAGTTCTGAACATTGCTCATCACTTTGGCTGTTACTTGAAACCAAATCATTACGAGGGCGTTGCCTATCATCTAGCAGGCCGGAGCCATTGGGCTTTGATCCCCCTGCTAGTTGCAACCGCCAGGCACCATTGTGGCCGTGCATCGGTCCGACTCCTCAATTGGAATATACGTGCTCTCGTGGAGAACCAACGTTACGATCAACTCGACCACGCGTTCGAGGAGTTCACAAACGCGGACCTCCCACCAAACAGGCGAACGTTTCATCTCCTTATTTCGGGTCACCTTCAGAACCGAAATTTGAATTCTGCAAAGCAGTACATGGACAAGATGGCTGTCGCTGGGTTCTCCGTGGATTCTTCTACTCATGCTGTCATCGTCGCCGCCTACCGTTCTCTTGGAGTAGACCTGAAAGTGCAAATCCGTGCCTTCGAGAGTTTGCGCGATTTAGATGGGCGGCTGTCCACTGTTGTACTCAACAGCATCGTGCAACAGCTTTTAGACTCAAGAGACGAAAAAGCAGCAATACGTTTTATGCTGGCATTCGATCTTCCTGGTGGACGCGGCCAAGATTCCACGGGATCTGGCAGTACCACCGGGCTCGTTGGCGAGCGCACCCCCGACATCTTGTCAACGCGCACCCCCATAGACCCCCCTGCTGTAAAGCCCAATGCGGCTACTTTCTCAATTCTGTTGGGCTATATGGCAAGAGAAGGCAAAATTTCGCGCATGCTCAAACTCCTGGACCACATGAAACGAGCTGGTGTCCATCCAGATCCCTCCATTCTAGCAGCTCTCATTCGAGGATATCTAGCTGCAGGTCGTAGTCTCGAAGCCATTAGCGTCGTCGCCATGCTATTGAACACGCGATCCGCTGCTACCGCCGGGGTCTTTTGTAGCATGATGCAGGTGCAACCGCTGACAATACTCCCGGTTGACGTCCAGGGTGTTCCCTTGACAGTGCATATATTCAATGCACTAATGAGCGGATTGCTTGATGTTATGGGCCTCAAAGCGATGCGAGATATCTTGCGGACGATGCGTGCTGTTGGGATTAGTCCCGATAGTCACACGGTAGAGATTCTGATGAGTTTCCTCGAACGAGCACAAGGAACCGGTCCTCGTCAATTGATACGTGTCCTTCGTTCATTTTCATCCCCTTCGCTTCGACCCACCATCCGACACATCCACATCATCTTGCGGAGCATCCTTCGTCGTGAAAAATTCAGGGTTCATGGATGTGGGTGGGACACGACTGCCGCCAAGTACTCTAAGAAGCGAACTTACAACCCCAAGTTTCCGGAGGGACGTATTCTGGACACCACTGAACACTATCATCCTACAGCCGGTCTCAAACTTCCCCGTCGTTTACGGTTGAAATCCTGGTTCGGACCGATCCTGCAGTCGGTTTCGCGGCAGGCTATTCAAAGCGATCGTGCCACCATTGCACTGAGGCTGAGACATGAAGCAATTGCTAGTTCTGACATGGGGACTTCTCAAACTGCCTTCCGAAATATGTTGGATCAAGGACTTCACCCAACCATCCACCATTACTCAACGCTTATGGACGGGTACGCGAAGATGGGTGACATCCAAGGCGCTAAACAAGTGCTTCGAGATGCACTTGAAGCTGGCATCCAGCCGAATGCAATAATGTACACCACTCTCGTCAATGGCTATGGTCGCCAAGGAAAGCCAGGGGAAGCTATGCAGGCTTTCCGTGCAATGATTCGTGCTGGTATTGTTCCTGATGTGCCCTCCATCGACGCCGTTGCCCATGCATATTTTGCTGTGGGAGCATATTCAGTGGCAAGACGCGTGCTACGCGAAATGTGGGCACAAATTCAACCATTTCCTCCCGAGCTGGAACACGCCGATCTCCGCACACTAGCCGTGACGTTTCGCTCCCATAGCTTGAACCCGAAGCATGGGAGACGCAAATTGACCACGCGTCAGCAACGTCTGCTGCACTGGAAGATGAGGGCAATCAAAACAGAGTGGATGCGATTTGAACAGTGGACGGGATCATGCCCGCTTTCCGATAGGATTGGCAAACACGATGGATATCCGCGTAAAGAGGAATAGGAGCAACTCATTTATGCAAGTTGGGATGGATGTTCATAATGTGACGCGTTTAATACATACTACATACAGAATATCCATATGCACTTATCGAGCATGTGCAAACTTAGAATCCAGCAGTCGGAGCGCTTCTCTGACACCATCTGCATTCACCTCCCGCATTCTCCGACGTCCACACTCGATCAACACCTCTTGCGGAACAAGCCTTGGTGGCGGGGACCGCTCTCTTTGCTGTTGATGGTACCGCTCATGTGGATTCGTCAGCAGCACCGAACGATGATCTGGTGCCGTGGATCCACCCTGACGAGAATGTCCTGCCATAAGTGTGCTACGTTCAGGCGTAATGGATCCTGGCGCTGGTGATATTACCACCCGTGAGCCAGTGCACTTGGATCTACGAGCAACCACGTCGGCTAATAGTGTCAGATCTGCGAATGCGACATTTGGGTGCGACTTGAGCTGACGCCAAGCATCGTCGGTCGGTATCGACGTCTCAGCGTGAGGATTCGGGGACGAAATCATGGGCGCTATGCCACAAGACCCACACTTCGTAATGTCACCACAGCAACCACCGACAACAATATTGTCGGATTGGTTAGTTCGTACAGGGCAGTCGATGCACGGTGACGTCGAATTGACAGAGTGCCCAATTGCCTGGCAAAACGCCTTTCCGAAAGCGTCGTCTGAACATGCCATGCAATTAGCAGGGTCACCTGAACATTTAGCGGATGACGATGGGACCGAAATCGGAGTCACAGAGAAGACCGGGTTTATGCTCTGACCCGGCATTCGTCGACGTATCGGGACAGGCGCTTGGTATGCCGGGAGGTTCTCGAGAATGTTCATCTGCGAAGATGTAGATGCCGCTAGTTGCGTGGGTTGGTCCATAGGTGACATAATGGCAGAATGATTATGTTCCGGTTTGAGTGATATGTGGCTTAAATTAGTGTCAGCGACGGCTTGCTCCATGTCCATCTCCCTGCAAACACAAGGAACCTCTGGACTACACAATACACATTGGAAAGAATCCGCCGAATCTTGTGCATCTAATGCTGGGACAGGCTCCGACGAAGGATAGTTGAGCATGTGTGTGAGGGAAGGTGGGGGCGTGGGAAAAAGTCCTGAACAACTTTCGTGGCCTGAGGAGAAGCTGGGGGTGGTTCTATCATCAGGAGAGGAAGCCATTGAAGTGGATAGAGGGCTATAGGAGGTGAAGTGGCCCTGCGGCGAGTCCGTCGTCTCGGCTTCCATCTTCGCTCGCTTGTTGCTGTTGCGAATAGATTGTTCGGGGGACATGCTGGATGACACGACCACAACATTCTCCCTGTTCCTCTTTCTGTCTCCATCATTCGAATCTGCCTCCCACTCGAGACGAGCGATTTTTTCTTTCAGCATCTGATTCTCCTTTCTGAGCTCATCGTTCTCATCCTTCATTTTCTTCGCAACGTTCTGGAGTGCGACATTACGCTCGATTTCTCCCTGTTCGTAAGAATGAAGGCGAGCTTGTAGCTCAGCAAGCTGAGACTGCTTGCGCTCGCGAAATGCGCGTTGGGCGGCTCTGAGGCAAGAATAAACGGACGGTATCGCAGAGGACTGCTCAACTCCTCACCTGTTTTGAACACGCCTATCTGCAGACTCCGAGTCCTGCAATCAATGTCAACAATATGAAGCGTAGGGTAATAGGGAGGTACTTGCCTCATCATCCTTTGGGGCTGGAGGGCCTACAGAGCTCTCCTTTTTGGGCTTTCGCCCAGGTTTGGGTTTAGCTGGGATCACCCACTCCTTTGAGGCTGCAGACGGTTGTGTTGGAACTAAGTAGCTCATGATTGCAGATCAAGCTTACCTGTTGCCCATAGCGTCGAGGCCGAGGTCGAGGCTGCCAATGATACTGGGGACAGTCCAATAGGTACCATGCTTGAAAAATGAGCGCCAATCAAATTGCAAGCGTCGTCAAGCAGGAGAACAGGAGAAGTTGGAAGGGTTATGGTTTAATGCTATGCGTTTTTGGTCGATATCGAACACTGGTATTGTGATTAACGCCAGCGGCGACCACGAGGAAGAATTAAGTTAATGTCACATAGATTAGATACCGGATCGGTACTCGGTCGGGAAGTCCGATAACAGCCCGGTTGAGTGGTAACCTTCGACGGAACACCGTGCGCCTTAGACGAACGAAGATAACTGACTACATGGAGCATAGGAAAGTAGCTTGCGACTAAATACATCCAAATACCGGAGCATTCACTCCACGACTTCCTCGATTTGCTCAATAACCTCATCAATCCATTCCTCAATCTCCTCTTTTTCCTCTTCGTGGTGCTCGCCATTAAGTTTTTGTCCACGACTCCGCTTCTCTTCTGCAATGTCTCGCTTGCACCGTGCGCGCCATGCGTTCCATTCGTCAAGGAGGCGCTTACGATGAGCGATAAGCTCCGCGCTGACATTGCTCTCTTCCGCAGCATCTTCCTCGTCGAATGCACGGCTATACTCACGCAGGTTCTTACGAATCTGCCGCTGTTGATCCTTTGTAAGAAGACTGCGGGGCCGCGGTCTCCAAATGAATTGCTTGAAGCGATCAAGGATATGCTTTTCTAATTCTTGTCCTCGGAAGTCCCAAATAGCGTAGCCGTTTTCGAGCTGTGTAACACAAAGGCAATTAGTATAGCACAGTGGTGACTACAAGTGCGACAGACCGTGTGTCTCCACGCGCTTGCACTGGTGGCCAAGTATCGCCCACTTGGGTCCCATTCTACATCAGTTACACCATAATGATCAGCAGAACCAAGCTGCTGAATGCCGCTGCCCCATTCTTCTTTCACGTTTTGACCTTCTCGGCGTTCTTCAGTGCTAAAATCCAGATCCCAGAACTCGAGTTCAGACTTGGTTGATGAACCAACTGTCGCAAGAACTACATGTCTACCTCGAGGAGACCAACGTATCGTATTACTAGTCCTTGACGTAAGCGTGCCTGTTTGTATATAAAAAAAGGTCAAACGGCAAAACCAACCAATGTTGATAGTACGTACGCAGCAGTTTGAAATCATTCTTGGCACGATCCAGCTGGTAGAAGCCGATGTCGGTTTTAATCGTAATTCCGGGCCCAGGGTTACCGAGGTTTGGGTCATTGCTTGACACAATAGCAAATCGCTCTCCTTTAGGCTCCCAGGAGAAGTCCGTCACTGTGTCTATATGCCATGTCAGTAAACGATCCAGTAAAGTCAGGGGTCTCTGCACCTTTCAACTCGACAACTTCAACGGGATAGTCCTTCTCGCGAACTCGGAAAATCTCGAGATTGCAGAAAATAGATTTTTTGGTCTTGGTATGACGGTCAACCTTGACACAAAGGAAGTCGCCCTGATTTTGCCAATGAAGTTTACACTATAACATCGACCTTCAGTTAAGGATCAACGACAAAAGGGACAGACAACACCTGCCTCTGTGACATTGAACAAGTTCTTCTGTCGTAGCACAGTGCGACTTGGGAAACTAATGAGGGTCACTCGCGCTGGTTGATTGGCGACTTCAGGCGTCCAGTAAGCAAGCATGTTCTCTCTTTTTTTGGCACCTTTCTCGGTTTTCTCGGTTTTCGCGGCCTTCTCCGCGTCTTCCTTGTCCTTCTCTCCGTGAGGACACCATTCGAAGTCCACAACCCCCTCTATTTTCAAACTTTTTTTGTCGTGAAGACCCATGGTTGGCAACTCGTAGACACTGATATGCTGTCCTGGCGTTACACGAGCAACGAACTTATCATCGGAACTCCACTTTAAGGCAGGCCACTGCATTTGTTTTTTCATCGCTGGATCCTCATTCTCGTAAGTCGCTGTGGGGAACGTGCGAAGAAGTTGGCCAGACTTGATATCCCAAACAGCAATATTATTGCCCTCGTCCTCGGGAGAAAAGAATTCGGGACCTTGGGGGAGATTGGCGGGGACTGAGATAGGATCATGTGACCAGGTGACGAGGTAATTTTCGCATGGAGAAAAGTCAATCAACTTGACGAGGGGGTGCGCAAAACGATGTTGGGGTTCCCATGATGGTCCTCCCCACAGGCGGACACCCTGACGAAAAAGCGTAGCGAAGTATGTACCAAGTGGTGACCATGAGGCGTAAAGTTCTGTCCAATTCTTTCAAGAGATTGAGCGGATCGAATGATGACTGGAACGGCCACATACCTTTTTTGCATAGGCGACTTCACACTGCGAGGGTTTCCCGTGCCAGTGGATTTCTACGTCATCGCCTCGGTAAGTCACATACTGATCGCGTCCTTGAGAATCAGCGAGCCATGCTCGGAGATGCTCCTGAGGAAAGTGAGTCTAACATCTTCATCGCGGTAGAGAAGCCAAACCTTTGGACGGTATTCCTCCACTGTGGGATCGACGTATGTCTCGTCAATACTTGCATAGTGTTCAATGTCAGTGAATCGATTAATGCGGAAAGTATGCTTCGCATCAAAAGGGTGTCCGTTCATTGCATTGGCCGCAAAGGCAGCCGCATCTGGGTTGCCAAGGTCAACAAAGATGAAGCTACCATACTTTAGTTCTCAGAAGTATAGCAATAGAGCTAGGGCGAGCGTACCCCTTGGTTTTTCCTGCATTATCGTCCCATGGTACGAAAATGTCATCTGGCTTGATCACAGCCCCTCTTCTGGAGAACTCCTTGGATATCTTCGCGAGTAACTTGTCGAGCTTAGACTTGTCGATGACAGGTACACCGTCGACCACAATTATACTGTCGAAGCCATCGTCAAAGTCCACGCGATATCTAAGCGGGAAAAAATGAGCAGAAGTTGAAATGAAAGTACAAGAAGTCCGCACTTGGCTTCAATCTCTGAAAAGTCAAGCTCATCGTCGATAGGGTTGTGTGAAGTGCCGTTCAGACTGGCCATTTTGTCTTGCTCACTGCTCTCGTCGGCCGTAAAGTCTAGCTTCACAAAAATAAAGTTCAAGCGGAGTATCCTTTTGCGTGAATTACATAATTATGATAAGACGTTATAATTAGAGGCAACATCAATGGGGCGGAGTTGACTCTACACGTCTCTTGGTTGCGAGCGTCTGCCAGATTCCCATATCGCTTGTGACGGCCGGCTCAAGTCAATTTCGATAATGTGTGTTCCGTGACATTTGCGATTACGCCTGCGACAGGATCACTCTTATGCTGATGGGGCGACCATCCTGCATGGAGGACTGTACGGTCTTCTCATAATCATATCTGCCTTGTTAGCTCGTTCGGGCATGCCAAAACCCCGCTATTCATAGCATCTGGATCATAAAATTCGAGTCCCGTCTTCCCTCTTTTGCCTTACTCCTGGACGTTCGGTATATTGATGGCTATCTTCTATCATACCATCCTCTCCCAATTTTCCCATTCTGTCACGTACAAAGGCTTGTACATCTTCACCGTCTCTTCTGGCATGAGGCAATGCATTCGTCGACGCCTCTGCTCGTAACTCCTACAATTGCTCATATCCTGTGCTGTATGTCACATTTACACTCGATACTTGCTGTATTCTCCTGCGGTGAAATTTGTCGAGTCTTCCATGCCTTCTTTACTTACTTGCTCTCGTGAAGGGCGGCAGCTGATCTGTCATTCAAGTCTGGTAGTACCCTCACGCTACCTCTTTATGACTCACGTGCCCCACCAGAGCATCCTTATGTGTGCACACATACCATGCATACTTGACATTGGTACAACTTTACGTGAGGTCATGGCAATTAGGGACAGTGAGTGTGTATTCTGCTCGACTTGGAAATGCCTTTCCGTGATGCCGATTTGGATGCAAGTGCTTGAAGACTCCATACCATCCGTCTGTTGAGTGTCATCATTTTGCGGAGACGCGTAATAGGTCGTCCCAGGAAGTGTTTGATTCAAGTACTTCCGTGCTTCTTCGTGAAGCAAAAACAACTGTTCAAACAAGAGAATTGTATCTGCACGGCGCCTGTTCGTTGATGATGGTCAATGCACGTGCATCCCGGTATTATGTACCTTGGACATGTAGCTTTCATCAATCCGCCGAGCGAAGCTTCAGCTGTACCGAAAACTCAAATTGCGTACAGGTGGCATGCTCATTGCGAGCATTCATTCGGCAGCGCAAATCTGGGGAACTTACAGGCGTATCATTAATCCAACAGCCGGAAAAGCTCAGCGTTTCTTTTAATTTACTAGGCTAACTACAACATCTCCATCCACGTTCTTGATTCTATGCTTATGATAGGTTTCAATCTGCTCAATGAGCTGACAAGGGTGCCTGAGTTACACAGGTTGTCAGCAGTGTAGTCGGCCAATGAAAATCGTTTATCGTTTATCCCTTTTCTCAGCTTGACACATCGAAAATTCAGACTATGGCCCCATCCTTTCGTAATGATTTCTATACGATGCTTCAATGACCTTTGTTCCGGTTGGTGGTTGTCCGCTATTCATATTCATACAGGCAACTGCACCTTGGGGCACAATCGTGCTCTGGACGAATGCTTGTCTACGAGACACGTTCTGTTCTCATTGACGATGATTAGACGTGTGAACGTTTAGGCCTCAGGACTATGAGCATCCTGTATTGGGATGTAGGTGATTCACGTCGAGCGTTTACAGTACTAAATATGTAACACACAGTAGTCCTCCAGAGCCTCACTATGATCGTAGCACGTGTATACACCTATAAAATGATGGATCTACGAAATGAGCCGTGAGCCCTTCAATCTCTCCCACCAGCTTGTTTTCTTCCAGGCACCCTCAGTACTTATGTCTATCGAGAAAGATATCAACTCCGTTGATGAGAAGGAGCCGAAGGCCGATGACCTTCGTAAGGTCACTGCAAAGACCTACGAAGCGGAACAAAGGGCTGCAGCACATGACCTCAACAAAAAAGAGTCACTCAGTGCATATTTCACCATCCTTGCCGCTGGGTTTGGTTTGATCAGTGACGGTTGTGGG